TTATGGTAATACCCTATTTTTAACCCTGTTCTTAATCATAATTAATTACATTTGAAATGTTTTATTAATTAAATCAAATTATGAATATAGATTTTAAAAATTCTCCATCGAATTAGCTTCAATATTTCAAACCCAATTTTGATTCTTATAAATTAAAATTTTTGTCAAATTTTTTCCAACACTCTATATTTACCAACTTGATTTCTAAAGAAAAAATAATAATCAATTTTATGAATTATTTATATTTAATTCTAATAAATACGAAATAATCTAGTTTTGTAATAAAAATTCAATTTTTCATTAGATTTTTATAAGGGCATAGAATTTTATTGAAGAAAATTATAATCTATTATTGCTTTAGAAAATAACTCTGAATGATAAGTTTTAGGTTATGCTAGTTTACTCATTTATCTGTCAAAACAAATAGAAGATATATGATAATTTAAACGTTTTGATATAGTCAACTATTATTACTTATGATATTCGTTAATGTTGATGTTTGTTTTGCTCTTCAAAATTATTTTACCTCTAATATAAGTAGCATTAGTAATTTTCCTTCTGTAATGACATTTTTTAGAAAGATTAGTAAAGTTGTATTTAATTTAATTCATTTTTATGTGTTGAAAATAGTTATAGTTCGATTATTTGAGCCAAGCTAAATGATTGAGGAGAAATAAATAAAGAATCTATTTTTATTTTTTAGAGGTTCAATTGGGTCAACTATAAATATATATTTAATTTATTGAGAGATCAATTGAATATTTATATAAAATATGAACCAAATTAATGACTTAAAATTATGATATAATTAAAGATTGAGTAAAGGTAAATTTATCTTAATCTAGTATTTTGCATATTTCTATTTTATTTCTGTTTGTTGTGATACCTTAACGAATTGCATTTGGGTGAAAGTAATCTATTTTCTTTTTAAGACTAAATCAAATTAAGCTTATACTTTGAATATGTAATTAACTATTTTTTTAATAGGGATTTTATTTTGAAATTTCAACAGTTTTGGTTAAGTTAATTTAATTTCTAAAGAACTCGGTTAGAGAACCTAAAATAAGAAAATTTGAGTAGAAAAATAAAATTTTACTTTTTATAACTTTTATACTAGTAGATAATGAAAAATCATAGCAAGAGTATTGGGTTAACTTAAAGATTTAGGTCTCATGATTGCTTAGATTTAATACTAACTTTTCATCTAACATTTGCCATAATAATAATTTAGAATATGTAAATAATTCTGAAATTTTTTGAGTGATAGTTCTCTAAGTTTAATTATAATGGTATTTATATTCATTTAAAAGTTGAGAATCACTAGTAAAATTTATCTAATTAATTCTATTTACAAAAAAGGTAATAAAAAATCATAATTAATTTTTAAATATTTATTTTGATTTAAAATTGGATTAATTTTAAAATGGATATTTAAATACATTTCAATTAATTTTAAATTAAATATTACTAGTATAAACTTTATTAGCAGCATTGCGTTAAGGTGGTTGTTTATTATCAATTATTATAGAATCAGATGATGATTTTACTTTAGATGAATCAAAAATTTGCTTGTTATTTTTTAGATTTTACTATATTAAAATAAATTATTGATGTTAATAGATTTGATTGTTTATAAATGATGGGCATAAATCAAATTAAATATACTTTAGTTATTATATACCATTTTTTAAATTGACAAAAACTTATCCTTATTCAAAGAATGATGAAGGAAAATTTGTTATAACTCTATTGAAATCCTTTATTTGCTTTTTCATAAGGAAAGAATCAAAATTAACAGATATTTAAAATTTATTTTTTGCTATGTTAGTAAGTCTTAAAATATTATGATGCCCAAGTTTATAGAATAATTTCTTGGTGAGAAAACTCTGTTTACCAATTATTTATAAAGAGATTATTTAGAGCTCCCTCTCAAAATTTATTTATGACAACTTTGTTTTGAAAGAACGATCATCTTTAATTATGAATTTGAAACTGATTGCTGTCAACTAATCCTAGGTGTTACAAACCTTATGCTTAGTTGATGTAACTTTTATTGAATTAGACTAAGGTTATTATTTTTCTTTCTAAACAATTCCAATAGTATTGTTTAAGATAGTTCCTCATGACAAATTTGAATAAAAAAATATGTAAATATTTGCAATTTCAACATAATATTTCTATTATCTTTCAAATCAACATAATTTCTATATTTTATCCAGAAATTTTCTAATGTTATTAGATTGTTCTGTTTCGATTGATATTGGGAGTAAGACATCATTCAGTTTATAGATCTCTATAATTTTATGATGAAGTCAAACTTACCAAAGCTCAAGTTTTTCAATCACTCTAGTAGTTTAATTCAATTTTAATTGATAATTTATATCTTTAAATCTATTTAGTTGGAATCATGAAAAAAGGTTACTGAAAAACAGAATTTGTATGAAAATCATGGCAATATTCAAATTATTCTTAGCTTTAGGTAACTTGGAACATCAATTATAAGTAATAATAATTTTAAAGGATACCCAAAGTAGAACAATATTAGATATGCTATTTTAAAATATAATTCGATAATGATATACAACTTTAAGCATTAAGGTTCAAAGGTATACCCATCTATATTCTCACGTTTTATATCTCGGCAATCAATAAAATAAGCTGTCTTAAATGTCCATTACAATCATGCTATATAAATATTTTGTATCTCTGATCTTAAGCAATTTAGAATAATTAGTTTATTTAATAATTGTATTTAGTGTTTAGAATATTTCATTATTTAATTTATTAAAAGAAATATAATAAGATTGTGAATCAATTAAAATATGTAATCTAATTATAGAATTTTCCCCTTATGAATTGTTTCTAAGGATGACCACTTATAGTATATGTAATTCATATTATTACCAATCTCAGCTATAACACAACTCTGTTTGTAAAATAGAATGGTAATATAAAAGTATTTAAGTTCAATAAATTTTCATAATTTGGAGTTTACACTATTAACTTCTTCAACAAAAACATTTTTACAGCTTCTCTTATGGGCTATATTATATAAAGATCTTGAATTCTCAAACCAAACTCATAATTTCTCATCAGAGTATAAGAAAATATTATCTCAATTTATTGTTGAGTGTTGAACTCTTAAGAAGATTCTATCATAACTGGATCTAATGACCGTGTTATTAGATTCTATTAATCAAAATCTACACCCTCTTTATGTTAGGAGTGCTCATAGACTATAACTGTTCATTTAAATGATGTTTAAGCATTATCATTAAATCAAGATGGAATAAAATTAATTTCCTATAAATTAGATCTAAATATGTTTTTATGGGAGGCTCAAAATAGATAAAATTTGGATAGGATAATAAAATATAAACATCATGGCTTAGAATTAGTGTCATTACTGATAATATATTTGCTTGCTAATAGCATAAAAAATGCCTTTGATTTTTACATATTCAATTCTGAATCAGGAGAATACTTGTTATATAAGCAACTACAAGTCAAAGGAGGTTAATCATCCTTTGACCATCATTTCTCATCTATTTACCTCAAATAATAATTACTCCTTCTTGTGAAAATTCGTAAATACTTGAATTTATAAGATTCACAAATCCATTTTGATCTTCTTAATATTTGGAATGTATTTTTGAATAATCAATTGATTTTAATTCAGGACAAGCAATCAGAGCATTTACTTATGATGGACAATGCCTAATTGCTTTTGATGATAACTCAAATGAAATAAGAGAAAGAAAGTCCAAAAAGAGAGTATGAAAAATGATGATATGTTTTAATTACAATCAGGTGTCTTATCAATAAATTGTTTATGTTTTAAATTAAATAATTTAAGAATTAACCTATGTTAAAAAGTACAGATGAAAACAATGATATTTCATTCAATACTTAAGTTTGTTTAATAATTATATTTTATGTATGTAGAATTGTAGAAAATCCATAAAAAGGAGTTAATTAGATAAATACTTTATAAACTGCATATACTAAGAGAAAATCAAAGTATCAATAAGACATACCAAATATAATAATAATCTAGCTAATTCGAATTTAAATTATGAATTCTATTATTTTACTAATTGATTTTGAGCTCTACTCAGTAATTTTAAAAGTTCTTTCTCATTCCATTTTACTGAAGGAAAAGGATGTTGATAAACTGTAAAATAATCTATTAGATAGAAATTTTACAAGGAGAGTTGCAATTAATTATAAAATATTTAAGGGAATTCTTAATTATCGATTTTAAAATCAAAATTATTACTTAATATCCCTAGAGAGATAGATAAATTTTGCATTTACTAAACAATTTTTCCCCTTATATTTACTTTTAATAACTAGGTTTCTGATGATGATATTAATTTATGAAGGAAGCTCAGGAGCAGTATTTATATCATTAATCCCTATGCTAATAAAGTTATAGTATTAAAGTATAATCAAAATGCACTTTTTATGAGAAATTCATACAACTGTTGAATAGAAATCATTATTAGGAATTAATTAAAATATCTATAATAAATCCAGGGAAAATTGTAATTCAATAAGATTCATATTGATATCTATAAGATGTCTGTTTTATAGACTAAAAAGTCAAAGATATTTGTTAAATATGATTGGTAAATTTATATAGAACCTTAACTTGATTTTATATTAGATAGTTTAATCAAACTATATTCTTCGCATATATATATTAAGATACAAGAGGTCACATAATTATTATTCAGGTCTAATCTTTGCATTTAAGATTTTGGCCCATTAAATTCTAATGTTATTTTTCAATACGTCAAATTTAATATTTAGTAAATTATTATAGGCATCCAAAAATTTTAAATCATAATATCAAATTAATACCTATTTCTAAAAAGAATGAATGAAAATCAAAATTAATTATATGTTTCAGGCTGTTCATTACATATGAATTTAAAAAGGTTAAATGAAGCATTTAACTTGTGCAATAGTTTTCTTTTATTTATAAGTTTAAGAATAAACAACAAGAATTTATCAACAGTTTTTTAATAATTGTATTTTCAAGTATATATAATTAATAGATCAATTTATTTAAGAAATGATTATGAATTGAATTAAATAATCGTTATTCTAATATGTGAATATTAGCCAAAGAGATAAAGTATTATATAAGATTTCTGATTGCTATTTGTAATAATTAATTTATTATTTTCAGATCATTTATTAAAACTAAACAATCTATATATTTCTAATAAACAGTTTTCTTCCCTTCTTACAATTAAAACTTCAAAATTCAATCTTAATATTAAATTTATCAATTAATTTATTATTATCATTTAGAGGAGACTCTTTTTATATATAGTATTTTATTAATTAATTCTTGAATTAAGATTTATCATGAAATGATTAAACTCTAATCCCATGTTTAAATTAAATATATCAGTAATGAATAGAATATTTACTCATAAATACAGCTTATACATCATATTGAATAATAAAAATGGAGATGAAGAAAATATAGTTGCATGAACCTTAGATTATTTAAAATGGTACAGGATATTATTAGAAAAATTATGGCTGCTACAAAAATTCCAATATTTTTGTTTGTTATGATTTAACAAAACGAACATTGATACCCTTATCACTTGCAAAGTATTCAGCCAAAATATTACCTGGGTTGTGTATTGTGTAATTAGAATTAAGATATTCAACTGATAAATAGAATGAACCCATTGATCTGGAATATGTTTTTTCGATTAATAAAAATGCTGCTGTTACTAAAATGATCGTTAAGCAAGGGCAAACTAAAGTTTACGGTATAGTAAAGGAAAAGGAGGAAGCAAAGGAATAGTATGAATAAGGACTAAAACAAGGAAAAACCACGGCATATAGTGAATAGGATAAGAATTTTCCTTAGATAAAACGAGTGAAAGTAGGATAGCTTGCACCAAATAAGTAATTGATGATTACTTTTGAGTATATACAACCCTTAGAGGTGTTTCTAAATAAATTTTGGAAAATCGAATTATTCCCAGTTATTGATTACAATTTTGTATATGGCAATAACAAGTAGATGATTGGTATTCATGATGAGTAGATTTATGGATATTTAAATAGATTATTTAGGATTTAAGATTTCGAGTTTACATTTAAATAAGAAATTTAGGTGGAAATAGAGATTGGATCACCGATTACATTTTGGAAATCCCCTACTCATGAACTTGTATCAATTAATGCCTAAGATAGTGTGAAAGGAAATAATAATCATTTAATGCTTCAGTTAGAAGATAATCATAAGAACTACGACCCGATTAAATCATTTACCTTACTTTTTTCTTCAGATGAAATCAATCTACCCAGGGCGGTTCTAAGTCATACAAATAATGATGCCTTACAATATTAGAAATATTGTGCTACATTAACATTCATTCCAAAATTTAATGTAGTTTCTTTAGATGATGCTTATTCACAATATTTAGATGGATTAATTATAGCGGATAATCAAAAAATAATAAGAGGTAATTACTTATTCATTATTGATCGAAGCGGATCTATGAGTGGATCAAGAATCAGTAAAGCCAAAGAAGCATTAATTCTGTTTCTAAAAAGTTTGCCTTAAGATTCAGAGTTTAACATTATTTCATTTGGTAGCAATTTTTATTCTTTGTGGAACGAATCCAAAATGTATTCATAAAATTCTTTAGAATAAGCAATTAACCATGTTTAAAGTATGGATGCCAACTTGGGAGGAACACGTATAATTGTTCCATTAAAGGAGATGGTATATAACAAATATTATGGAGCTTCCAATAAAACAACTCTAAATGTGTTCTTGCTTACAGATGGAGAGGATTTTGCTGATCCGATTATTGATTTGGTTCAGAAAAATAACCGAGCATAAACGAGAATCTACACTTTAGGAATTGGTGAAGGATGTAGTTAATATTTGATCAGAAGAGTGGCTGAAGTTGGAAATGGTAAACATTAAATTGTTAGTGATAAGGAGGATATAAGTGAAAAAATAATTGACCTACTTGAAGATTCCTTAACTCCATATCTGGAGGCTTTTACTCTAGAATCTAACATAACTAATATAGTCTCGATTATTCCTAATCCAGACTCAATTGTTAGTTTGAAAAAAAATTAAGAACTCACAATCTAAGTACTTTTTTCAAAAGAAGAGACACCAGAAATTCTAGAGTTTAGGATCAATTGTTATGATCCATAAATCAAAAATAAATTTAATATTCTGTAAAGTTAAACTTGAATGAATCTTAAAATAATGAATATTTTCATAATTTGCCCACCTACAAATTTATTACTTATTATGAGAACTCCCTAAAATTTGGAGAAAATCATGTGAATTTTATCAAACTCAATAAAAACAAAATTGATTCAAAAGATATAATTGATTTATCTGTTTAACATTAAATTTTGTGTTCAAGAACGGCATTCATATGTTAGGTTTGTGATTTAGAAGATTAATTTAAATAATAGATTTATTAAAGAGTACCTGAAGTTCAACCTAAATAAGATATATGGAATTAATAATTAAATGCTAGTTATTAAAAAACGAACAGAGTAAAAATTCAACATAATTATAGAAAACCTCAAGCTGCTAGCTGCTGTGGTGAAATATTTCCTTCAAATCGGTAACCCAGCTTCAAATCATCTCCCTCACCTTAAAAATATGATCCCTAAACTCAGCCGTTATTATAATAGGGAAAGTAAAAAGATAAAAGCAGAAAAAAGATAGACAATAATTAACTTACTTTTGAAAATTTGATTAATTTTGTTTAAGCAGATGGGTGTTTTAGAATAAGTAAAGAAATTAAATCAAAAATCAATTTTAAGAATCTTTCGAATCATTAAAAACTAAAAGATGATGTTTGGTTTACTTTTCTAGTGTTATTATACTTAGAAAATAATTTTAGTCAAAGTAAAAAATCATGGTAGTTAGTTTATTAAAAGGGAATATAATATTTATAATAGAATGGAATGGATTATAAAGCAAAGAAAAATGAATATAAATTGTGATAAATTATACATAATATATATATGCATATATTGTATACATTATTGAAATCATGATAGGATAATTATATAAATTCACTATTGATAATATATAATTTGAATATTTATTATATTGATTCAATGGGGTGAACGGAATTTAAACTAGTCATTATTTTAATCCTTTTACTTATGAACTTCTCCCTTAAATATATGAGATTAAGATGGTATTTAAGCAAGGCCAAAAATTTAATATTCAAAACCTAAAGAAACATCGTGACCATGTTACCACTCTAAATATCTTTAAAATTAAACATTAATTTATAACTGGCTCAGCTGATAATTGTATCATAGTTTGACCGACAACTATTCTACCAAATCCAAGTACTTAACAAAATTAAAGAACCATTCATTTCAAATTACATGCTTAGTGATATCTTAGAATTCAGAATAAGTCTTTATCAGTGGCTCCAAGGATAAGTAAATAAAATTCTTGAATCAGAACATCTAAACTACATCCTTTGATTGGACTTGATGGTAGACAATTACAGAACACACTGATTAAATTTATGGTCTATCAATAAATTGAGATGGCAATAAATTAATATCCTGTGGTAGAGATGGATTGAATTTAGTTATGTAAAAACATGATTATCAATTTTAGTAAATTCCGGAGTAAACTTACAAGGCTGTTTGATTTAGATTAAGCTTCATTAATAATCAGATGTTTGCATTTTAGCCTTTGATTCTTCATAATCATAAATTAAAGGCTTCTTAAATTCTTCTCGTATATTCTTGGAACTCTAATTCAAGATCCTATGTTAAATCCAATAAATATCAATAAAGGAGAAGGATAATGGTGTCACATCTATTTCCCATAAACATACATACCACCCAAATAAACACTAATTGCCAAAAATGGATAACTGTGAACTTGATAAGATCCTCTAAATCAGAAACTACTTAAGACTTCAATTATAAATTAGAGTAGGTTATTGATTATAGCGATCGAATCCATAAAGTCATATATCAAGGTTAGATCTTTGGGGCAATTAGTGATGATGGTGAATATTTAATCATTATGGGACTCGGAATTCTAGTTTGATATAAATTAGATAACTCAAAGAGAATTTGTTAAATTATCAATAAATAATTAATATAATATGATCTAATATTTGCTTGATTTATTTCTATATTATATTATGCATTAATTGATAGAAAATATTATATTAAAACTCATTATTGAACCTTAAGTGATTATATATTATAACATCATACTTATGTTTAAAGTTATACCTCTATCATAAGATTGTTGTTATACATCTTATTACTGTTAGATTAGATATTTATTATGCATAGAAATATCTTTAAGGAGGTATTAAATCACTTCTTTGAAACATATAACCTACTTGCAGAAAGACTTGTATATAAAATTATTATACATAAATCTAAAAATTTGATATTCATTCATTAAAAATCGAATGCTAAAGTCAATCCTATGAATTATATTACATTTTTATACAATAGCCTTTTTTCCCTTAGAATTTATTTTAACATTAAATAATAAGTTAAATTTTTATTATGATAAAATTATTTTTGCCTAGGTGAATGGGTTTGAATAAAACCTTATACTCAAATATAAAATTAGTAAATAGCAATTACAAACAATTATCTGATTACCACTAAATCATCCCTTATCATTAGGTTTTTCCTTTAAAAGATTTAAATTAACTAGTAAAAATTATTGAAATCTATAAAGCATAATATAATTTTATAATATGCATAACATTTCTTACTTATTTTATAGATTCTTTATTGTTTTATTAATTCATAAACTTAAAGGCAATTCGATAAATATGAGGTATTATATATGTATTATTATGTATAAAAATAATTAATGCATGAATAATCTAAATTAGATCTCATTCTTGCATTGTGAATTTTCTAATTTGAATTGATAATTAATCAAATAAATACGATACAAGATATTCTCCGTCTTTACTCATTGAGCCAAAAAGAAAATAATCTTTATATTCAATTACTTGTTCTAATTTGCAAGTCCATCCTCCTTCACTTTCCCTTATCTAGACTCCTTCTTTGGAACTTAGGAATGTAAATTTTACTACATTGACTTTATTTCCATTTTTTATTATAAGTGTCTCTGTTATAGGAGAATAGCATGGTGGGAAGAGGGCAAAGCATTTTTCACCAGGTGGTGCTAAATTTAAATGATCTAATGATTTAGTAAAGTGCTAATGTTCATTTTAAGTGAAAAAGTGAAGTTAAGTTCCCATATGTGGTAAGACAACCAATAGATCATTTGTAATAAAACACAATCGAATAACTTCTTAAGGAAATTTTATTCTTTATTTAACAGACCATTAAAATTATTGATCAGGTCTCATTACTATAATTAATTTATCCTTTGAACATGATACAAATGAGTCACCACCATTATTAATCGCCATTCCATTTATCGCAGTTTTAAATTCAGTCATTGTTTGCTAACAACTCCATTAAAGATCTTTTGACCAAAATTTTACTGTTGTATCTTGAGAACCTGAAATAATAATATCCTCTCTAATTGGATGAATAAGTAAGTTGGCCACCTCATCACAATGTCCCTTTAATCTATACTACATACTATATTAAATAGGGCTGTTTGGATTTTGTACCTGTGACCATATGATTATTGAATTATCAACCATTGCAGCACCAGAGATGAAGGAGTCATTTTATTATGGGAGATTAAAGAATTAAAGGGCTAAAACTTCATTTGAATGTTCTTTAAGTTTTTAAATCAATTTCAGTTACCCTGCCTCTCCATTTACATAAGGGATTTCAAATACTTAAATTTTACGACCTGCTCCTATGATTATCAAAGTCTTTTTCAAATTAATAGCATTAACTTGTGATAAATAATTCAATTTTGTAGTTGTTTCTGGCAAAATTTCGAATTTATGTGTGCTCTACTTAGGATGTTGTAACATTTAAATTGTAATAATCTATATATATTTACTCAATAAAAATTATCACATATATATTAAATAATTTAAAATCGCTAAATTTATCTATCTCTATCATATTAATGATTATGTCTATGATAAAACTGATTTGTTTGGAAATCCAGCAACGATGTCATCTCAAATTTTAGTTATTGTTGGTTCTATATAAATAATATATTGGCTTTAAATATCTAAAAGTATTTACACAGTTTTTTTCTATAATTACCATTATCAAGCAGATTATTCAAGAAGTGTTTTTACTTTATTGAATAAATTGTAAGAAGGATAACATTCTTTCAATTTGATTTTTATGTATAATCAATTGTTAAGATTTTCAAATTAATTTGCCAACATTAAAAAATGGTTAAACTCTTATTATTCATTTTTGAGTTAAAATCTAAAGATTAAGTAGTTATTAATATTGTAAATATTTATCTGTAAGCGAACCTACTTAGTATGAATAGCCACTAGTAAATGTCAACGATAATTAAAACTTTATTGATTTCTTTAGTAAATAACTACCAAATCCCTAACTTACTAAAATACAGAACAGACATCTAAAGGAAATCATCTTCTATTTATTATTTTTTAGAGTTGACAACAGGAGCATAACAGCATATTTAAAAACTAGAATAATATAAGATATTAATTATAGATTTTATTAAGAAAAAGAAAACCAAAAAATTTTAGTTTAAGAACTCAAATAGTTTAAGAAAGAGTTCAAAAATAATGATATAGAGTCAAATTACATCTATAGTTCAATTACTTATCTATTCCTCTTTGTATTTTCTTAATTATATTTGTTAAGAAGTAGCGTCCCATGTAATTAAATATTCACCATTTTTGTCTAATGCTCCATATATTTATACATCACAAAATTTTATTGGTACCTAACTTTAAATTGTGTTATTTGGCATAATTCTGAATAAATTTACAAACTATCCATTCTTGGTTATTAAAATAGATTTTTGTTTAATAAATTGCTAAGGGAATAAAGCATCACATTAAGAACTTGGTAACACTGATACTTATTTTATTTAAGTAAACACCTTCGCATCTCGCTTTAATTCATAAATTTCCATGAACTAGGAAGCAAAAGGTTGAAATGCAAATCTAATTTCGTCTATAAAGCATAGCCTATATCCCCAAGGCTTCACTGATATAATCTTGTAAAATCTCCATTAATTATGATATTTTTCATACACATATATCTAATCTGAATATTCAACACTAGAAATCAGCATATCTTATCTAGAATTCAAACTTAATGATTATACTTCTCCTGTTATTTCATCGAAAGTTTATATGCATTGATAATTTTACTACTTATCCCAAATTTTAATAGATCGATCGCTGTTCCCTGAGAATATCATATTTTCACTATTATCTATTATTAAACACATCATTATGCCAGTATGTCCTAACAACTTAGAACTTTTAAACCATTCTTGCTAATCATTCATCGACCAGATTATAAGACTTGCATCTGCACTTCCAGAGACAAATTGATTAGTTTTTGGCATAAATTATAAGCAATAGACTGCCTCTGTATGATTTTTTATTATCTATTTTTCTTTCATCAATTCATTTATTAACTCAAATATCTGAATTGTACCATTATCTAATCCAGCCACAATAATAGATGAATCGTTATTAAATGCAAACGAGCAACATCCAATTGATTTTCTTTTGTTTTCTTTCATTAACTCGTATGAGAATGGATTAGAATTATTTAGAACTTCATCTTCAGAATCTTCGAATTAATCAACCTGATTTACAAACTCATCGCTGCAATCATTCAAAATTTTTATAAATTGCTCAGTGCTTCTTATGAACTAATCTGCCAACTTTTATTTTTTTTCTTCATTAAATTTAACAAAATTGCTTAAAGTTTTACTAATTTGTTTTGAATTTAAATTTACCAGATTACTCTCCAATATTGAATACTAAGCTAGAATTTTAGATTTAAATTAGTAGAAACATTATTACATTTTTGAAAATTAGATTTCTATCTCCTCTACTAATTTATTGCATTAATCAGATTTGTCCTTCATGTATTCACAAAGATTCAAAATTTTATAAGTATGTTAAGAATGATTTCCATGTAGGGATTGAATTCTATAGCATTATTCAAAACAAAATAGTCTTTACTCCTTACAAAATTCATTTGTACAAAACATATCAACATTATAACTATGCCCCTTTGCACATTTAAGCTACAACATTCTAATAATTTAATTTAATTATTATTATCTTTTAATAACATGTGAAAATAGAATTATGAAAAAGTATAATACTCATTAATGATAACTAATTGAACATAAAGGCGTCAATTTTATTGCTGTTGACATTCCAATAATTTTCAAATGGAAGTTTTATACATCCTATGCAATGTTAATTAAATAAAAGATTTGATTACCAAGTATATTATTTGCAAATATAGCAAACCTTGTCATGCTGCTTAAATAATCAATAATTATATGTTAGCACTGATTTTTTTCAATTAAAGAAAGCATATTTATTATTAACTACAAGAATACCTTTTCTTTTAATCTATATAAAAATGTTGAGTTTTCTACATTCAATTTGCCATAACAATCCAAAAATGTAATATTTACTAAATAAGAAGATATAATTTGGATCAGAAAAATGGAAACAAGACCTATCCTAAACATTTCAGGCAGATGAAAATAGTATAATTCTTTAATCCTAAGACTTCCGTGATAATATATTTCTTAATGATAATTCCCTTTTAGAATTAGAAATGATAATTTCCACCTTATTTTAATGTTCTGAAATATCTTTGTTTCATAAACAAAATAAAGTTATGTTGCATGTGATAACTGTTATTTAAGGATTTAAAGTAATTTTCGATCTTCACTTTCTTTATTAAAGTATTGGCAATTATGAAACTTCAAATATGATGGAAATCAAAACACAATTTTAAGTTTATGAGAACAATTACATCATATTGTATATTGACTGAAAAAATACTTGCAATAATTTATTCATCGATAATCGATACAAATATTAAATCATTAATCATAAAATTATTGATTAGAATTAAAATAAATATTGAATTTGATAAATATTTAAATAATATACTATGAACTAATGTAATAAATTGAATTTTAGAAATAATTTAAAATGCATTATTTGAATTGCTATGGTTTGGTTCTAAAAATTTATTTTAAAGTATAATAAAAAATGTTTAAAAACCTAACAAAGTTAGCATGCTTTTTAGGAATAGTAAATAGACCCTGGATAGCATGCTCTTAATTAAAGAATGAGCATTGTCAGGATAGAATACAGTGTTATAGTTACCTAAGTGAACATCAATTACATAACTTATTGAAAAAACATATGAACTTATAGGTTCTCCATAAAAAATTAGACAGAGCGCATTTTATCTATCATTCGAGATGTCAATTGTGATATTGTGGTATCTGAAATAAAATTTAATTTGAGACCTTTAGATAGACTCTGATCGATTGATTAGAATTTTATTGGAGCTTGCCTTGCTAATCTGGCATGAAGATGTCCTTAAAATAATAAAATTTGGGGATTCACGATCCAAATGAATTAAAATTATCTGATTAGGAGTATATTCCATTTTACCTTAGAAAATCTATTGTAAGTATACTTAGATCCGGAAATGCATTCTTAAATGAATCTTTAAGAGTGACTTAAGGAGCATCGATTGGATAAATATTGATTTAAGGAAATGAAAAGACATCTATGCCAATGTATTCTTTTGAGAAACTTCCTGAGAACATTAATGAATAACAAATTATTTTGGTTGATTCAATTCTTGAAATAGGAGCAAGTGCAAGCATGGCATTAAGAATATTATAAAAGTATGGTGTAAAGGAAGAAAATATCATATTTTTAACTTTGGTTAGTTGTGAATAAGGTTTGAATAAAGTCTTTAAAGAATTTCCAAATATTAAAATCATAACAGCTCAATTTAATCCTAAATTGATAAACGATGTTAGTTATTGTGCTTCAGGAATAGAAGACTTTGGGGATAGGTATTTCGGAACTGTTAAAAAGCTTACATGTGCTGAAAGATTTGATATGCCATATTTATATATGTAACATATTAATTATTATTATGAAATTAATATATTCCTTACTATTCTTAAAGCTTACAAGTTTTATTCCTCTCTCAGAATAAAATTAAGACAAGGAGAATTCAAACTATATTATAATTTAACGAAGCAAGCTATTATTTTATATATTTTGCCTAAAATGTTTATTTAATAGTCAAAACATTAGCCAAAGCAGAAAACTCAAATATATGATAAGTAAGAAATCGAAATAAGCAAAGATCTGCAGTTTTTCGATTGAATCTCTTATACTTCTAGTAAAAAAGAATAATATAGCGTTCATTTTTGAGTGCAAATAATAAGTAATAAATACTAATTTAATAAATTTAGAAAGTTAGCAAAGAGTTAAGATTACTCTATCAATAATATAAATAGATTATTGGAGATGTTTAATCTTCTAATTGTTTTTATATTTAATATTGATGTATATATTTATATATTGATTCAATCCACATATTATCTGATTTAAATAGAACCTGATCTATCATCCCAAGTGATTAAATATTCACCATCATCTGTCATTCTCCCAAATATAACTTTAGTTTAGAAATCTATTGATTATATAGTAGTGAACTCATCATTTTGATCCTTCTTAATTAGATTAACACAACATCCATTTTTATTTAAAACTACTTACTTAGATTAGACATACTGTTAAGGAAAGAACCAAAAACAACCTCTATTCTTTTTCCTTTCGCTTCCTACTCCAACTAAGATCTCTTTTGTCTTCACAAACTATTTATCTATGTTATCTAACTGATATATATGCAATTATTCCCTCTTCTCTGGTTAAAAAGCTAATATTTCGTCATTAATAAAACATAGTCTTCTGCCCCATTATTTTATCCTGAGTGTTTAATATACGATCCACATTTTTTATTCTTAATCATACTAATGGATCAAAATTTAACTGTCTTTTGAACAAGAAACTAGTTGATTTTCAGATTCATTTAAGCTTATGCAACTTACAAAACTAGAATGTCCTCCTATTGTTTAAGCACATTCCCATTAATCTTTATCCTTTGCCCAAAATTTAATCAACATATCATCACTGCTTGATATTAAAAGATCTTCGTTTTTATTCATCAATAAGCAATTAATTCCTCCTTAATGTCCTTCTAATCTTTGTTTAATGTCCCATTTTGAATCACCATTTAAATAGCATATAGATATAGTCTTGTCACAACTGCCTGATAAAAATTCTTTTGATTGTTTCATGAAATATTGACAATAGATGCTCTTCTTGTGGCAATTCAACTATTATATCATCTTTAATTATCCCTTGCTAAATTCAAAGACTTAAATTTTGCTTGACTCATAACCTCCTACCATCATAGAACCATCTTAATTGAAAGCGAAAGAATTTATTTATTCATCCTGAATTGAATCAATCAAATCATACTTTAAACTCTTCACTTCCTATTTTACTTTTTTACCAGGACGATCAAATTATTGTTGTGAGAATTCATTAAGACCAGTATAGATTGTCTCTATCATATTTTCAGCACTCTTTGAAATCGTTGATATTAGAGATTGCTTCTCTTTTCGAAACCTAATCTTTGAACAAAGTAAGTCGTTCAATTGAATTAAATTCAATCCATTCAACTCCTCTTCACTTATCTAACAACCAAATTTTAATTCTTCCTTTAAAGTAAAAAATAGTTGATAAATGTGGTCAATCATTTTCTCGAGATCAAAAATTAAATCTTCATCGCTTTTATTTATTTATTACCTTCCAAAATCTTTTATCTTCTAAACATCTTTTATATGAGTATTGTGTTTTTCATTCTGCAAACACTTGAAACAAAATACTCTAAAGTCTTTGCATTATTCATTGGTGCAAAGGAATTCCACATCTGTCTCATGATCAGGTATATTGCAATTCTAATTCATTATATTTAATTATTACTTTCAGTTTCTTAATAAATAGATCTCTTCATGAATATAAAAATTTGCATCTTGTATGGTATTATTTTACTAATTATAAAATTAATTAATTAATCAAAATCATCATAGAAACCGTATTTCTTATCTAACAATTTTGGTTGTATTTTATTCTTCTTAACTTGATAAAAAGACTAACAAGGGATTGAATAATGATAATAAGAATTAAAAGAAAATCTTATTATTTTAACAAGTCATTATCTTTCTAAATTCATCATTTTTTAAGTAGAAATTTTATAGGATCTTTTCAGCTTATTTTTAAAGTCCAATCGCATAATCTTTTTATGCATAAGTGAATTGATAGTTTGGAAATCATTTAATATAGATTTTTATAACATGATTAAAATATGGGTATTTGAAAATATCTAAAGTATTTGATTGATTATAGAAAAATTTTATCATCGAATTGCGTCTGAAAGTTATTATTTGTAGTTCAGTTAATGTGTAATTATATCAAAAAAAGAATTATATATTAAAATGACAATTTGAAATTATGATTTCGTATTATTCTTATACAATTAACTTAATTATAATAACCTATTTTGATATATAGACTTCTATCATAGGCTAATCAATATTACAAATTTAAATATTACCATATATAACTCTTACCGTAAATTCATAATATTAAAAGTGGAACGAGGTGATATTTAGATTAAAGATTGAGCATGCTTCCATTAAGAAAATTTTGAGTTGAGAAGATTAATCAGAAAATTAATTTTTTATTCCAAACAACTTAAATATATACATAAGTTTGAATAAAACAATCAAAATCATGGATTTTCATTAATTTAGTAAAAGAGTATATATGCAGATTGCATAAGCACTTACTTTTTTGAGGCTGCTTTAACAGTTTCATCATTAAATAGGAACCATTAATGATATCTTTTTGCAAATGTGAAGTAATGGCCTGATTATAAATTGCCGGTGTGAACGATAACTGCTCTTAATCTATAAGTTTAATTTCCAAATTTTAGAGTATCCATGGGATATGTTATAGTTTTATTGTTTTTATGGCATTAAGGTAAGAATTAAAATCTTTTGAGGTGCAATACAAGTATTTATGGGATAGAAATGATTTAAAGGCTTTTAATACAGGAGGATTAACATTTGGTACATTTGTAGTCTCTTAGAGTTTCTTCTTTGAGAAATTCTTCAAGGCATTGTTCAAGGGTTTTAGATTAAGAGATAGCTAAAGACAAAGTTAAAAATGGCTCAATTTGTTTGACCTTATAGTTACAAAGTTGACATAAAATACCAGTCTAAAGTTTTCCTATTAAATATAAAATTTGCTACCTTTAAAGATTTAATCTATAAAATTAATATAATTTGATTTTGTATCCTTATTGAAATTCAAAATTTCATCTTCTATGTGTCCTAACAAATAAAGCAAGAATTCATGACAATCATGTTAATTCTTAGGATGAAATTAATTAATTATTAGGGTTTTTAGAGCATTAATTTTAACCGGTATGGTGCTTGCTTTAATTTAATCAATAAGATCGAAATAAGCACTAGTATATTATACTATGTTCGCTCTTTTTTTTTCTTTAGGTATTCTTTGAATGTATTTGATAATAAAATAATTAAGATCTGCTATGCTTAATAGTGATTGTAACCCTGAGTGCATATAGCAAAAGTAGGAATCATTTTTCATTCCAATAAGAGGCAATTCGTAATTAGATTAAGTAGTAGAAACAGACTATCGATTTATCTAAGGCTCAACAGTCTTAGACCTTTTATCATTAGATCTTGAATGTTTTTATTTACAAATTATATCTGGTTGAGCTTTATATTCTTGCTTAAAAAATATCCACACGGCCTCATTAACTATTATATATTATGTACAGTTATTATTGTCTAAAATACCTGGTCTTTCTCCATTTTGATATAAATATTATTTATATTACGAGATCCAATTTTCTCGAACCGCATAAAATTGATTGGATCGCTTATCTTTCATGAGTTCTTTGATTATTGTAGCTTCTAATTCTCTTTTCTCATTTGAATCCTACATGCTTCTATATTACGTAAGCATTTAAGTTGATTATGATGTGGATTACGAAGAGATTTAACTAGATCCTATGGACGGTTTCTTTCTCATAGGAAATAATGGTACATATAATTATCTAATATATCCCTTTTTACTTCATACTTATCTTCAGACTCATCTTCGATATTTTCATTTTGCTTCATTTATGAATCGAATATGATCATAAAAATATTAATAAAACAATAATATAATAATAAATATGTAACAATGACATGTCATTCTTAATTCGATGATTTGAGTGCTTAATATTCATCAAACAAAGATTAGATTTAGAATCCTTAATTTGTTTCAAATTTCAGCTTTCTTCCCTTAAATCCAATTTCAATAGACCCTGGAAAAACATTAAAAGATTGGGGTTGTTCAATTTTTTCCCATATTCTGTCTTTAGAACTACTATAGAGTCTAATTCCATGATAACTAACACCAAGAACCAAGTTCTATTCCCCAAATTATGATAATGCCTCTTTGCACACTACTTGGAATAATTATTAAATGCAAAAATCATTCCTCAAGCATTCCGAAATAAATTGAATCATTGCTTTTGTTAAATCAATATTTATATTTTCGATTTATGAAAATTATGTTTGAACTGATTGAGTGAATGATGAAAAGATACCTTTAGATTTAACCTTAGCTATTTCTTCTGGCTCACTTATTTCGACCATTGTTGATTATGTATTGTCAATACTAGCCTTAAACTCTTTAAATTCTTGGGTCACAACACAATTCCAATATTCTCTTTGCTTAAGTTATAAAATTGCAGATGGAACAATTTATTGAATGATATCATATGAGAGATTGCAGTTTTATAAATATAAGTGAATGGCAGCTAATTTAATATATTAATTTTAAGTTGGGAATGGGAATGTCGAAATCTAGATATCTTTTACTAATTAGTAATACAAAAGCTTCATTCTAGTAGCATCAGAATATAGCAAGGTTTTCTCATATTCCAAATCCAAATATAAGAACTTCTTGAACCAAAGTTCTTTTTTTTTTTTAGCAAAAATAAAGCTATCTCCAAATAAATCACATATGTTTTCGTCATTTTACAAGATTTTCACACGAGATTTATTGTCATATATGTATAATTTAAAGTCATAGATTTATTGCAATTCCATTATCTTTTAAATCTAATCTAAAACGTGTAGAACTTTTGTATTATTCTGTATATTGAACTCCCATGGCTTCTCCTTTGGTATCGCATGATTTACTAGTATTTAAATTACATCCTTCTCTTTTTTTTTCTTCTTTTCTTCTACTAACGTTATGTTTCTGCTTATCATAGAGGATGCACTCAATAATCTTCTGTTACATTAATTGTTCTATATAGAATGTTAATCATTCCCATAGTCAACTGTTTTAATTAATGTTCTAGTGGGAGAAACATAACTAAATCTATCTGGCCCTTTTTGAGTGCCATTTCTTTGATTTCTAAATTTATCAGCTTAAGAAGGTAACTCATAAAAATTCTCTGGTAAACCTAAGTCTTTCAAAATTTAAGGATCTTATCTTGCTAATTCTGACATTAGAAGTGATGAAACAAAAAGTGGTATGGCAATCATCCTTGATTCAATTTCCTTCTAATCATTCAATAGACTTAAAGTTGTACTTTATTTTAAAAAATGTAGTTGGATTGTTGGATATTTCTTTTTAATATAATCCTAGATCTTAATGCATTAACTAAATCTTAAGAATAGTTTTTAAAAAACTTCATCTATCCCAACTTCAATTATATATACCTTATAACTACTTAAATTCTCTTGCCTTTCATCAAGGCCTAAAGCTGTTACTTTGATCTTATTCAATTAGACTTTTATCTCAGACCCTTGGCGAGATGCTAATCTTTAAAATGTATATTTAGATTTCTCTTTGCATTCTTGAATTATCTTTAGTAATTTAGCCATTTTTTCAATTTTATCATTTGGTGTTTGTTCTATAAACGTAATTGATTAACCGTTCATTCCTTAAAGGATGTATATATTTTAAAGATGTTATTAATTTTCTACATCTAAACATCCACTTTGTTCATCCAAAAACACACTCTAAACATATTGATATTAATGCAATTATCTCTCTGCAATAATAATTAAATCACTTAGAATAAAAGCTGTGACATTGATAACTCTATTATTTTAATCTAAAATGGTTGTTAAAAGTTCGGTAATATATTTTCTTTTCGAATTTACTAATTTTTAATTCAGTTTACTTCCAAACCATTTTTCCAAATCAAACAATTTACTCGACAGAAATTATTCCATATTTTTGTTATTGTCATCATTAATTTTTTTAAATAAATCCAAACAGTCACATAAATTTTAATAATCTGGATGCGCTTTTTCAGTATGTTTTATAAGGTCTTCTAAAAGTAAGTTGTATTTTGGAATTCTTTAGACTGGTTTAATTAAATAACTCTCAATATCTTAATGATGATATTCCTTTTGTTCTGTCATATTTTTCAGGAATTTTCTTAAATCTTCTTTTTAACTTATACATTATTTAAGCGTTGCCATAGATTTATTAAAACCTTCATAGAATGTGAAATAAACTTTAAAAAATGGAGCTAAACCTTTAATTATAGGACCTAATAATTTAAATCTTTTGTAAGGAAGAAATCCTTCTAAATCTTAAAGAAAAGGATTATTTAAATCATACAATTATTGGAGATTATTGAATATTATTTCAATTTATTATTTATTTAACCATTGCTTAACTTGACTTTATATGACAATCAGAATTCTTAAATCATGTACATAATTTCTTTCTGTATTTATCAACTCTTCAATTATAAATTTTCTATATCTATGTTATTTCTCTTTTCTATAATAAAGTATAAGTCAAAAAAATACTATTTATAAATTCTGTACAAAAATCTGAATATCTTTTTAGCAGCAAGATCCTTCCTCTTCTATATATTAGCTTATGTCATCTATTATTTAGGTTTGTAAGAGTGATCAATTTATGAATTGTATGTTTCTTTCTTTTTTGTTTTTGTAACAGAGGTATCAAGAGCACCATTTCCACCCACTCTCATTATTTATTTATAGGCTAGTTACACATATCCTTATTTATTTTTCATCCAAATAAAAATAATATTAAAACATTTTGCTTACAAAATATTTAATTGTAATAATTTTGTTTAAGTCATATGGAAAGAGAATATTGTAGTATTTTTTAAGCATTAGCATTACAGAGTAGTCAATAAAAAATATATGGAAATATATTATAAAAATAAGTTATTTAGTTAACGATTTTTCAAGAACTAATATAGTCAATTAAAAGAAGAAATTAACCTTTGAGTTGATGATAATCCTCTTTTCTTAAGAATATAAAGATTATTTAAACTTAAAGAATTTCTTCAGATAAATGTAATTCATCTTATCAATAAATAAATAAATGAACTCAAAAGAAATACAATAAAATTTGATATTCTAGAGATAATCATAATAATGGAAAATTATCATATTTTACTTTAGAGAATTTAATTACAGCATTCTTTAAATAGCTTAGAGGATAAGAAATGAAAACAATATAATTTCCTTTAATAAATTCCTCAGACTAATTATTTGCTGATAATAATCTTAAAATCTTTATATTAGGGTAATTCAAATATTTCCTATTGAACATGAGATCTGGAAAGACTTTTTGAATAAAATTCAACCATTGAGGAAGTTGTCAAAAATAGTTAAGAATATTTTCAAGGTTTGCTTAAAACTTTTCTAGGTAATAGGTGTTAGCTCAATAAGACTTAGAAAGAATATTAATTTAAATGAAATAAAGTACTATCAACCAAAAAAAAAAAATCTTAATATCGAGAGATACAAAAAATAAAAAGCAACAAATCTTAATTTACTTTATTGAAATTCTTGATACAATAAGCTTCTGTAAAGTTGATAATCAATATCTTTATCGACTTAAAATTCAAATTTTATAAATTGGAAGGGTAAAGTAACATAATATTTGCTCCCTTAATTGCAATTAAACTTGCCTTTTATTTCTGTGTCAAACTATTCCAAAAATTTCAAATATGAGAGAGTTGATTTCAAATTAAATTGAATGAAAATTAAAATATTTAGAGATCCCTTTTATGAGAATTCTTTATAAAAGAACACTTTTTAAATCTAATAATTTGGTTCCTTCAAATTGATTAAGCCTGTTAGTCCAAGACAATTTAATAAAAAAACAAAGATTTGAAAGATAATTAAGATCTTGATTAGAGGGTATTTTTTAGCTATTAATACCTGAATGCCTAAGATTTTGAACACTGAATCATATGAATCTACATTCACTGAAAAGTTTTATGATATCAATACCATCAAGGATTAATTGAGAAAAGTAAAAATTTGAATTTTTTGATTATTTTTTCTTATATAAATAATGTAAGATAATTATGAAAAATTGAGAAGCTAATTCAAATTGATACAACCTGTTAATCTACCAACTAGACCATATCAAATTACTGCAAACTTTGATGGTTCCACTATTCTAGTGTTTACTGTTGATTCAAACCTTCACCAATTTTAAAGGAATAAGAATAAGTGGGATCTTATATTATCCTAAAAATGGCATGATTAAATGATAACTGTATAAATAAATTAAAAAGGCACAAATTTGGCTTATGTTTCAAGAGGGCTTGATTATTTTTGGATTGCATATCTTACTTTTCATAAAAAAAAATGGATTTTAAAAAATAAATTTAAGTTGAAATAAGATCCGGATCCTTATATAACAAATCATGATTTTAGAATATCCAAAAATCTATAATTATGCACTTACAGATTCTAATGGAATAGAAATTATTAAAGAATCAATGCATTTTAGATTACTAGTCATTTCAAAAGAATTCAAAGGTAAAAATTTAAAGGATCAGAAATAACATTTTCAAATGATTCTAATTTTTTTGTAGTTTAGAGTTTAGAAAAGTTGGAATTAAAGGTATTTTATAAATTTTCATTTAATTTCGTCCTTTTTTAAACTTAAGTTGTGATTAATAGTTATATTATAGAATCAAATACAAGCATATTGATTCATACAACAGAATTAGTTTTGTGGAATTTCTAAACTAACAAAAAGATCAAGATATAGACTCCTTATAATATGTTTTAAGAAATGCAATCACATTAGATGATAATTATCGGGAATTTACTGTTAGTTTAATTTAATGATGAAATAATAGTCTTTCAATTATTATAATAAAAATTGAAATATTGTACAACTTGCAATCAGGGTGTTAATGACAGTAAACTTATTTCTTGTGATAGATAAATAATGGTTGAGAATACAAATATACAAAAAATAGAGATTTCATAAATTTGATTAATGAATGGTCTATTAAATAATTTAACAATATTTTTTTTCTTAAATTTATGAATGACTTTGTTCAACTTATATGAGAATCTGAGGTAAGTCTAAAATTAGAAAATTGAAACTAAATAGAAAAAATGAGAAAGAAAATAAATGGGAGAAAGAATTGAGGAATAGATGAGAAAGAATTGAGTAATAGGTGAGATCGAATAGATTAAAAAATTAAGATTTGCAGATTAACGAAAAATGAAAAAGGAAGAAAAAGAGAAATAGTAATTTGAATAATGACATAATTCAAAATGTTTGCAAAAAACAACTTATAGATTCTTTAAATTAATCCTATTTATTTGCTATTACAAATTCAATTAAAAAATAATATTTATAGGTTAAACTGCATCGAGGAAGGTATTAAATAAATTAAAACGTATACTTAAAAGATACATTATGAAGTAAAGTTGGAGATAAACTTTTTGATGAATTAATGCCATTAATGGGCAAAGTAGCTAGGACACAAATTAATAAAAAAGAAATATATTTGTCTGTGAAGGTAGACAGATGAGGCTGAAGGCATAAAGGAATGAAATGAAATGAAATAAATTGTGATAATCTGGAATGAGAAAAAGAGTTTTGAATTTCAAATTGAATTTACGATACTCCAGCTTATGGAAATAGATATTTTGAAATTTTAGTAAAACCAATTAGTAGTAGGATAAAGAGTATATAAATCAATAATTAATTGATAAAAATATTTTTAATGTCTATTCAATAATAGGTGTTTAGATAAGCATACATTAAATCTAATAATAGTGGTTATCAAAACATAAAACTAACAAATCTAATGAATTAGCTATTAAGAGATTGAATCTTGTTTAAAAATGTAAATTAAAGTTTTATCTAAGATTTGGAAAATTTAAAGAAGAAAAGTAAGTCCCTTTGCAGAAGTTGCTGAATGTTGTTGAGTTAAAAAGGTATGAAAATTATATATATTCGATTCTTTTGGATATTTACCAGTGATTGTTGTAAAATACAAAAAACAACAGGGCAATAATATAATTCATTTAGCTTAATCTCAAAATTGTAAGAGATATAGCTTATATGAATTATTTAGAGTGTCTGAATTTCTTTGATTTCTAATAATGATTGATCAATTATAATAATATTATTATCAAAGAACAAACATTAACACTTATTACAATGGAAAGTTTCTTAGAGAAAAAAAGTCCTGTTTTGATTAAAGGATGGTAAAAGAGATATTTTGTTTGTTGTGAGAATATACTATTGTATTTTAAAAGCAAAGTTGATTTACCTCCTTATTAACCAAAAGGTATTCTGAATATTTAATGATCAAGGAGTAATAATGAAATAGAATATTGTTCAAGTGGATTATTTAGATCCAAACAAAAATGAGTTTGTTATTCATGTAGGACTGAGAAAATTTTAATTGAGAGCTGAAAATAAGGAAATAAAGGAAAAATGGGTAATTAAAGGCAGTTTAATTTTAGCTTGACATTTTAAAAGTACCATTTAATTAAACATCTAAAACAAAGTCTGAATTATCAAGTATGAATAAGGTTAAGTGGTAAATTATCAATATTTTGTAGGTAGGAAATCCCTAAATAATCAATAATTTAATTGTATTTGAAAAGAGAAGAGATTTTGTAGAATTTGATTCAATAATAAACATAAGATACATAAAATTCATTGATTAAGTCATCCTATATTCAACAGACAATAGAAGCTATGGGTGAGAAAGTAACAATTAGTGTAATTTAAGAACAAAGAATTTATTTTGAGGTTGCTAGTAGAAAAAAGATCAACTAAGAATCCTTTGATTAAAAAGAAGAGATGGTTGCTGCTTTTTACTTCCATTAGTATTGAGTCTTTAGATTAGATTCATTAATTTATAAAGTTCATTCCCCAACAATACTCTTTGGATACAATAAACCTATTAAAATATGATAATAACTTAGCAACATTGACAAGTAATAACTACATATATATGTGTTATAGAAACAATAATTGAATTATAATAAATTTAAAATTTACAGTTTGTTGTTACTAATGACTATTAACTAATATTTATGTGCAATGGTAGGGTATTCGACTTAGTATTTCCGTATTTAAGTGACGCTAAGAAATTACATGACTATATAGTTAAATGCTAACAAATTAATAATAGTATGCCTGTTTAAGTAAGTAGAACTAATTAAATACCTGTCTATAAAATGTAAGATAGTAGAAGAAGAATTATTAATTTGAAAGGGAAAACTGTTTTGGAGAATTAAGTAGAAAAGAAGGTTAATGCATCCCAATGGAAAAATGTCATCCTTACTTTGAAAGAGCATGCCTTATTTTGGGAATTTGTTGATGCTGAAGAATATTCAAATATTGAATTGAAATCTATTTCAGCCATTGAATAATGTAATAGAATATTCACTATTATTGTAATCTATTGAAATTTCAATATAGGTAAATGAGGAAAACACAGTTCTATAACAATTTAGAGTATCAACAATTCAAGAAGCTGATGAATGGACTGGTTAATTATCATATATGACCGATATCGAAATTACTGTTAAGGTATTAGAAAAGTAGCAAACGCTTTAAAATTATTAATAAAATGCTTTAACAAACTAGTCCTAAACTTAATAATTAACTAAATAATAGACTTAATAATAATAAGAGTAAAAAAAACCATCTTTTTTTTAATAATTATTTTGTTGGGGAGGTGAGAGAAAAGAATTATGATTAAATATAATTAAACAAGTAGATATTTCATCATAGATAAACAAGTTTATTGAACTTTCTCTTCCATTCATTATATTTAAATTATAGTTGTTCTAAGATGGCTAATTTATGTATATTACTCAATTACTAGAATGAATAATACATAAAAATTAGTGTAGGACTGTATTTAGAATATTTTTTATTCACAAATTTGTTATTTTATTCATATAAATCTTAAATAAATCATATCAACATTTAGGAATCTCTCAACAATTTCTATATTTGTTTCTATTACTAATATTATATCAATGTTTGACAACATCCCATAATTGAGTATATCATCAGAATATCCTAAAATAAATAATATTATTACTATTGGTAAACCAACAACAGCCAGAGAGGACATAAAACATAGATTGATTAATTTGAATTGATTTTGGTCATTCTAAATAGTTTATAATGACTTAAGTTGGCTAGTTTTTAATAATCCAAAATTAACAATTCCAAAGAGCAAAGGTGTGATAAAATAAGGATCGTAGGTTGTCATTTCAAATCCAAATAATTAATAAGGATGAAGACTATTCCAATATATCACGGCTCTCAATTAGTTTGTAAGCATATATAACTATTAGAAATATTAAATATGTAATACAGCAGCTAAAGAAGCACTAATTTATTTGGCATTCATTAAATCATATTTATTAGTGAAGTTGTTAATGCTTTATGGGACATATGTTAAATTATGAATTAGGTTATAAGTGATTTTTGCTACAAAAAATGAAGTTATTGCATAGGTTGGAATTGAGAGATAGTTTTCTAATAAAAACAATATTTATCCATTTATAATACCACATTTGAATTGATTATTGTATTTGTAATTATGTTATCTATTGGGGCTGTTAGAAATGAATATTTGTAAATTGGTTTCTTGAATAGCATTATATTATATTATAATTAATATATCACTCTACAAAGAAATGTACAGCAATTAATCTGAATTCTCTATATGCAGACACGATAAATCTCGGTAATTTAGATTCAATAAAATAATCAATTTGAATCCAGGCTACCTTGGACCTCTTATTTTTATGATTCAATTTTAGGAAAACGAGATATAAAAAATTACCCAAATACCAATGTCGAATAAGAGTTTTGCAAATAGAAGGACAGGTAATAAAATAATTTCCACTTTTTATTATTGTATCAAAAAGAGTTCCTTATTTTACTTAGTTTTATCAATATATGTTTACATTCCTAAACTAATTATCATAAATATTGGCTACTTTCATAAATAGATTTATGGTGGAGGAATAGGAATTCCGATATCTCAATCCAGGAGTGCATGAGAATTGGACTGTATATTAGAATGTTATGCATTCTTTCAAAAAAATGGAATAGGAATAAATACACCAAATTGTAAAAGAATTCATTATTGATCAGAGGTTTAATGTAATACCTTTTCTATTATATTTGTGTATGTCTTATTGTCTTTACAATGCTAAAAAAATGAACAGATATCCAAATATCTAAGCTACACCTTACATAAATAACAAAAGCATAAAGGACATTTTGAACATATTCTCAGTGCTGTATATGTAATAGATTCCTCTTTGATGTTCGTTATTTTATTATTGTCTATTTAGTACATTTTATTCACATTTTCTTTATACCAAATCTATTTTAAATATTCCAATCTCTCCTTTGATCTTATTGTATTGATTATAGTACATAGATTTATCAGCCGATTAAATATATTGATTCCACTTATCATCCTTATCAAAATCATAATCCTCACACATGATTAATATAAAATTAATGAATAAAAATCAGATTCTCAATAAGAAATACATAATCAACTCTAGTGGTTAATTGAAGTATTACAAAAAGAAATCAAAGCGATAATCTCATAAAACAGAAGACTATAGCGACTAGATTACTTAGCCATTGCCTCCAATCTTGTAAGCTGCAAGAATCAATACACAATTAGAAAATATAAACCTCAAATACAGAACTAAACCTCATTCTTATTACACAACTAATACTCCGAGTAATAAGAATACATCTCTACCTCTTCTAAAAATATTACCAAATGATAATGAAGAGTAAATTAAGCAGAAAATCAATTCATGTTTTCTATCATCAAATTAATCAAAGGTTATCATCAAGAATGATTTTCTTAAACAAAATATGATTGGATATAGTAAAGTGAGCACAATAATGATTATTTGATAATATATTGCTAAGTTTATTATTTATATATTTACTCTTAACTTTACATTTTATAATGGATTGAATAATATCATAATTAGAATATCTTGATTGTTGCTTGTAGATAAATACTTTGATATAAATAAGTATGTGATTAAAAATTTATATATAAGTTAAGTAAAAATTTATTCGTTAAAATGAGACAATCTAATTACAAAGAAAACAGACTGTAAAGTAGTTAAAGAAAGATGTCAGACTATATAAAAAGTACATTAGGAAGTAATTCATAAATACACGAACCCTTATCTAACAAAAAGAATTAATTGAATGAATTGGAACATCAATTACAATAGATAGTGAAAATAAAGAGTTCCTTCCAATAATTTTGTGGAGTAAAAGAGAATAAAGAAATAAGACAAAGCAAGGAGAATAGAGAAGTGCTGTATTAATACTAATAACAGTAAAATGTTGATAGGCAAGCTTAGTTAGTATAGGTATGAAATTTATATGTATTTAAAAAGACTGGGAATTTTGGGCATCCAGAGTCTCAATTATCACATAGAATTAGCACCCAAAGGACTTTACCAGCATTTGAAATTCATGAGGATATTCCAACAATTGAAGATTTAAGAAAATTACAAAATTAGATTTTGGATTTGAATTCATTTACTGTAGAGCAGATGGATGAGTTAAAGAAATTGTCCTCTATAATATTATTCAGAATGAGGAATATTAGAAAATAATGATGAATAGTTTATATAAATATTATATAAATGGATAAAAAATATTCAGAACTTCTTGAGAAGAAGGGGATCTTGGAGAATGAACTTAAAAATTTAGAAAAGACTATATTTGATGAAGAAACAAAATATTTGGAGGAAACAGGTCATTTAGGAAATGTGATAAAAGGATGGGAAGGGTATTTGAGTATGAAGAATTCTAAATTGGGTGGAAATTTATAAAGGAAAGGGAAGATAAATCCAAACGATAGAATATTTTCATAGAGTAGCAAAACGTCGCCTTTTGTATAGGAGGTTTCACAACCTGTTTAGACGGCTGGATCTTAAAAATAAGTGTTGAATGAAGGAAGTGGAGAGGAGAAAAAAGAATACCATTTCAGAAGGACTAAGAAAATAATAAATATGTTAGATTTCAAAAGGGGTAATTAACATTAAATATATTTTAGTGAAGGAGGTTTTCACTCTCCGATGACATCTAGTGATGAATATCATGAAAAGAAGGGCAAAGTACAAAAGAGGATTTGAATTTTTTAAAGATATATGATATATATTTACTATAATAGATATTTAAGTGAAATGAATAGGAGTAGTATGATATTATTAATTTTTTTGTTAAAATTTACAGATGGTATATATATTGTTCATATCTTTTTACAGCCACAACCATTAGTTTGGGTATAAGTGAAGCAATCTGGACAAATTCCAGCACCTAGGTCGGGCCACACTTTTGTAACTGTTGGAAAAACGCACATCCTTTTTGGAGGATTGGATAGTGAGAAAAAGCCAGATGCAGAAAAGAAAAATACAAAGATAGCACCAAATAATTAAGGTAGATATTGTAATTAACATATTAGTATATTCATTGAGAGTAGCACCAAATGTTTGTGAATGGAAGTTAGTATAATGTTCTGGTGATCCACCACTGCCAAGAACAAATCATGCAGCATGCGCCATTACTCCTGAGAAAATGCTTATTTTTGGTGGGTTCTACACATCAAATCTCCGTTTTAATGACACATTCATCTTAAGAACTACAAATTTCTAATGGTCTCAACCACCCAATTAAAAAGTAACTGGTGAACCTAAAAATGCTGAATCTAAGATTGGCGCACCAGAACCTAGAGGAAATCATTCAGCAACATTTCATAAGAACAAAGTGTATGTTTTCGGAGGACATGGAGGAGTTGGATATGCAACTAAATCATTCAATGATTTATATGTTTTAGATTGTGAAAGTTTTGAATGGTCACAATTAGAACCTAGTGGAACACCACCTGACCCTAGAGGAGGACACAATTCTTAAATTATGGGATAGAATGATTTACTCATGATTTTTGGCGGATGGAATCAAATTTCGCAATTTTAAAATGTCATCATATATGATATTAATAATAATAGTTGGGTAGATCCAGAAATATCACATGAAATACCTAAGTGGAATATGGCAGGTATTATGGTGCCATCTATTCCATCATGGAAATATTTCATTTTTGGTGGACAAGTTGGTAACTTCGAAGAAGGTGGTAACAGAACAGCAAGTAGATTAGTTGATGATACTTTTGTATTGGATGTAGATGCTAAGAAATGGTCTCCTGTGTAATTAGAAGAAGAAAAACCAGTCAAACCTAAAACTAGAGAATCAACTACTTTAATTTATGATCCTTCAGATTCTAGAATTATGATGTTTGGTGGATGGTCAAATGCTTGGATGAATGATATTTATGCATTGAATGTCTCATCAATTGTTGGACCTCCATATGCTATCTATTCAATTAAACCATGTTTAGGTCCATTAACAGGAAAAACCAAAGTCTCTATCACGGGAGATGGATTCAAGGATTCCTAAAATATAATTGTTAGATTCTTTTCAGGAAAAGCCTCAGAGGATGTTCAAGCAGTATATGTAAGTCCAACTGAATTAACTTGTGAAACACCTTCATATGAAAAACATGGAGCTAGAAAATCTGAAGTTAAAGTCAGTATTGACAGATTAGATTTCACTATTATGAGTCAATTCTATTCCTATTTCTTAAACTCAAAGGCTGAAAAGTCATTAATGTTTGGACCAGGAGTGTTGAGAGAAAATGCAATAAAAACAGATACAATGTTCTATATTCAAACTAGAAATTTGAATAATTAAAATAGAGAAAGTGGTGCTGATGAATTTTAAATTGAAATTACTAGACCTGATGTTTTATCAGAATTGGAAGAAGAAAGATAAAGAGAAGCCATTAGATTATAGTAATTAGAGTAGATGGATCCTGAAGAGAGAGAAAGAATTGAATAAGAATCTCATAAGAAGAGAACTGTTAAGAGAAAGAAGGTTAAATAATAATAAGAAGGAGAAGAAGGTGAAAATTAAGAATCTGAATATGAAGAAGTTGAAGAAGAGGTACCATAAGAAAAATCTAGATTGTAATTATTAGAAGAAAAAGCTAACATCAAATATTCTATTCATGATAATGATGATGGATCTTATATTGTTAAATATTAAATTGAAGAACCATGTGAAGTTATTGTTAATGTTAAATTAAAAAATGAAAGAGGTGAATTTAATGAAATTAGAGGTGCTCCTAAGAAAGCATAATTTTTAGATGGTGTTGGAATTAAAAATAACCAATATACAGGCTAATAATTAGTTAATTATGTTACTAATAAGAATGAAGAAATTAATAAACTTATTGACACATCCAGAGATAATATTAATATCAAAGATAAGAATATCTAAGAAGATGTCAATAGTTTATTAGAGGTTATGGAGAATCTTAAAAAGATTTCAGATGAAAAAGAAAACATTCTTTTGTTATTAGATGAAAATGAATAAATATTAAGAACACTAGAAAAACATGATATGAAAAAAGAAACAGAAATCAAAAAAGTGAACAAGATGTAAGAAGAATGGAAAAATTTATTAAAGATTTCATAAACAGTTGAAAAAGACATAAGTGGTCCAGTCAAATAAGAAGCTGATAAGACCAAAGAAAAGATTAAGAAATTCGAAGAATAATTAAAAGAATATTTACAAGGTCTTAAAAAAGAAACATTTTATTAATATAAAACTGGTATTAAAGATTCATAAGAAAGATTTACTGAAGTCTAAGCTTAAATAGATAAATTCACAAAAACACTTTAAAATTATGAATATTATTCAAAAATGTTCAACTTCCCAGATGAGGTTGTTGGTTGCTAAAAAAATTTAGATGCTATCAAATAAGAAGTAGCTGCTGTGTAATTATTATGGGAACACATCAAGAAATGTGAATAAAAATTCTCAGATTACAAGAGATATAAATGGGCAACTATAGATCCAAATGATATGGAAGATGAAGTGAAAAAGCTTCGTAAATTCTTAATTGATATGAAGGGTATCGATAAAAGATCAAATGTATTCACTGGTATTAATGAAGATTTACGTAAATGGGGTACTTTCATTCCTTTATTAACTGAATTAAAAGATCCAGCTATGAATACAACTGATAGTAGACATTGGAAAGAAGTCAAGGTTGTTGTAAATCAAGACTTTGCAATTGGAGATGATATGGAATTAGATGTTATTTGGAATCTTAAACTTTTTGATTTTAGAGAAAAAATTGAAGATATCTCTGAATAAGCAAAATAAGAATTAAAAATGGAAAAGGGAATTATCAAGGTAGATACATTCTGGAAGGATGTTCAATTTGAATTGTTGAAACATAAGGATACTGATATCAGAACTTTGAAAATGTTGGATGAACATTTTGAAACCTTGGAAGAACATTAATTATAGGTCAACAATATGTTATTGAGTAAGTATGTGAAATTCTTTGAGAAAGATGTTGAAAATTGGAAATGAGGATTTAGGAGCAATTTATGATGTTATTTAATTGTTATCAGAAGTACAAAAGACATGGTCATTTTTGGAAAACTTATTTATCCAATCAGAAGAAGTCAAGAAGGAATTACCTAAGGAATCAGAATAATTTGTTGGAATTGATAAGAATATGAGAGAGATTATGGAATCTGGTTGCTAAATTAAGATTATCTTGAAGTTCTGTACATAACCAAATATGTTGAAATCATTGGAAAAAATATAAGCTGATTTGAAGGTCTGCGAAAAAGCATTGAACGAATTTTTGGATTTTAAAGAAGAGCATTCCCAAGATTCTATTTCGTTAGTGTCAATGATCTATTGGATATTCTTTCAAATGGTAATTCACCTGCAAAAATTAACAGACATATGTCGAAGATCTTCTAGGCTATTGATAAATTAGAACTATAAGAAAATGATAATGAAAGACCATTTGCTAAAAAGATGATTACATGTGTTGGTCAAGAAGAAGTATCTTTAGTTAAACCATTGTAATTGTTAAATAAAGTTGAAACCTATTTATAAGCCATGATTGATTCTATGATTGATACTCTAAGAGAATTAGCCAAGAAATCATTTGGATGTTATGATTCTAAGACATGCCAATTACAAATGGATAGAAAAACTTGGATTGATTAAGATCCAGCTTAAATTGCTTTATTAGTCAATAATATTATGTGGTCAGTTCAAGTAGAAGAAGCATTTGGAAAAATAGCTAATGGAGACATGAATGCCCTTAAAGATTATTATAAGAGAAGTGTTGAGGCTCTTACTGAATTAATTAGATTTGTTAGAGGAGATTTAACTAAATCATTAAGATAAAAGTTGATGTGTTTGATTACTATGGATGCTCACTCAAGAGATACTATTGGTAAATTGATTGATGAACATGTTCGTAAACCAGATGAATTTTAATGGCAATCTTAATTGAAATTCTATTGGGTCAATAATGATGCTCTTATTAGAATTGCAGATGCATCTTTCAATTATTCATATGAATATTTGGGTAATGGTCCAAGATTGGTTATTACGCCATTGACAGATCGTATCTACGTCACAGCCACCTAAGCATTGCATTTAAAGATGGGTTGTGCACCTGCTGGTCCTGCAGGAACTGGTAAAACAGAAACCACTAAAGATTTGGCTAATGCATTGGCTAAAGCATGCTACGTGTTCAATTGCAGTTCAGAAATGAATTATGAATCTATGGGTAATATCTATAAGGGACTTGCTAGTTCTGGATGTTGGGGTTGTTTTGATGAATTTAATCGTTTATTACCAGAAGTCTTGTCTGTCTGTTCAGTTTAATTTAAGGCAGTCACTGATGCTATTAAACAATAAAAAAAGACATTTTTATTCCCAGGAGGAGGTGAGATTTCTTTAGATCCAACTTGTGGTGTGTTTATCACAATGAATCCAGGTTATTTGGGAAGAGCAGAATTACCAGAAGGATTGAAAGCATTGTTTAGACCAATTACAGTGGTTGTTCCAGATTTAGAATTGATTTGTGAAAACATGTTGATGGCTGAAGGATTTGAAGAGGCAAAGACATTAGCACATAAATTCGTTACTCTATATATGTTATGCAGAGATTTACTATCAAAATAATTGCATTATGATTGGGGACTTAGAGCTATTAAATCAGTCTTAGTCGTTGCTGGTGGTTTCAAGAGAGCAGAAGCAAATATTGCAGAATAGGCACTTTTGATGAGAGCATTGAGAGATTTCAATATTCCAAAGATCGCATTTTAAGATTTGGATGTTTTCTCAGGATTATTATCAGATCTATTCCCAAATATCAATATTCCAAGAAAGAGAGATATGGCATTTGAAGGAATCATTGAATAAGTTACAGCAGAAAATAGATTGGATCCAGACCCCGATTATATTTTGAAGATTGTTCAAGCATCAGAATTATTAGAAATTAGACATTGTATTTTCGTAATGGGTCCACCAGGAGCTGGTAAATCAACTACATGGAAAATGTTGGCTAAAGCTTAAGATAAGGCTGGTAAGAAGACAACAGTGGTTGATTTAGATCCAAAGGTCGTTAGTACTAGAGATTTGTATGGTTACAATTTACCAACAAAGGAATGGAAAGATGGTTTAGTTTCAAAGGTTTTGAGATCTCTAAGTGAAATTCAAGATGTTAATCCTAAATGGATATTACTTGATGGAGATTTAGATGCTAATTGGATTGAGTCTATGAATTCAGTGATGGATGACAATAAGATATTGACATTGGCAAATAATGAAAGAATTCCATTGAAACCACACATGAGAATGCTTTTTGAAATCAGAGATCTTCGTTTTGCTACTCCTGCCACAGTGTCTAGAGCTGGTATCTTATATATTTCAGATGACAAGGGGTATTAATGGAGAGCCTACGTGAAATCATGGGTTAAGAATAACTTTAATGATGATAAATTTAAATAAGATTTACAAAAACTATTTGATAGATATATTGAAGGTACTTTACTATTCTTAAAGAAACATTGTAAGACTTTGATTCCAGTCAATCCAATTTCTATGATTATCTCATTATGCAAAGCCTTATTGCCATTATTATAAGGAGAAGTGAAGAATATGGAATATCATTTCGTGTATTGCTGTGTTTGGGCTATTGGAGGTGTTTTATCTGAAAAAGACTCCATTGATTATCGTAAAGATTTCTCTAATTGGTGGAAAGGTGAATGGAAGACTTCAGTAAAATTCCCAAGTAAGGGTACAGTATTTGATTACTTTGTTGAATAAAATTCAGAGAATGTTAAATTCGATGAATGGGCTAAAAGATTATCTAATATAGATTTTGATCCTTAATCAATGGTTATGGGTAATATTACAGTGCCAACTAAAGAAACTTTGGCTACAAGTGAATTAGTTAAATAATTTATTTATGTTTAACAGCCAGTTTTGATGATTGGTTAATCCGGTTGTGGTAAAACTTAATTGGCCAAAGGTATTTTGAGAGATATCGTAAAAGCTCAACCAGATAATTTTACTTATCAATTGATCAATTTCAATTATTATACTGATTCAACATATTTATAGGCACAATTGGAACAATAATTGGAAAAGAAGGCAGGTAGACAATTTGGACCTTAAGGAAAAGGAAAATTAATATATTTCATTGATGATTTGAACATGCCTTAATTAGATCCATATGATACTTAGACAGCTATAGCATTGTTAAGATAACATGCAGATTATGGTCATTGGTATGATTTAAGTAAATTGAGTTTGAAGGATATCATCAACACTCAAACAATTGCTGCTATGAATCCATCAGCTGGTTCATTCTTTGTTAATCCAAGATATCAAAGACACTTTTGGACTGTTTCAATTCCTATTCCTGACAATGAAAGTTTGTTCTTAATCTATAACACATTCTTATCAGGACATCTTAAGAGATTTAAACCAGCTGTTTCTGAAAATGGACCTGCAATTATCAAGGCTGCTTTATAATTACATACAAGTGTCATATAGAATTTCAGAAAGACAGCCATAAATTTCCATTATGAATTCAATCTTAGACATATTTCCAATGTTATTTAAGGATTGTTATTAGCAGATCCTGCTAAATTTATTGATTCAGATAAATTAATAAGATTATGGGTTCATGAATCTGAAAGAACATATGGTGATAGACTAGTCTCAATGGATAATCTTAATACCTATAAGGCATTGATGTTTGATTTGTTAAAGAAATAATTCACCAAATTCAATTTCAGTAGATTCTTTGCAAAAGATAATCCTGAAAATCTGATCTTCTGTAATTTCTTAGCTGGTATTGGTGGTGATAGATTTTATGATCAGATGCCAAATGATAAATTGGAACCAGTAATCACTGAAGCATTAAAAGAATATAATGATAACTTTGCTTATATGGGATTAGTATTGTTCGAAGATGCTCTTAAACATGTATGCAGAATCACTAGAATTGTGTTACCACCAGGAGGACATTCATTATTAGTAGGAGTAGGAGGTAGTGGTAAATAATCGCTAACTAAATTGGCTGCATTCATTATGACATACACACTCTTCATGATTACTATCTCAAGCAATTATGGTATGAATGATCTAAGAACTGACTTATAATTACTTTACTAGAAATCAGGTGTCAAAGATGAACCTATTATGTTCTTATTCAATGAAGGTCAAATTACAAACGAGAGATTCTTAACATACATCAATGATCTACTATCTTCAGGAGAAGTGGCAGAACTCTATAACTCAGATGAAAAGGAAGTGTTGATCAATCAAATTAGACCTAAAGTAAAGGCTGATGGTAGACCAGATACAAGGGATTCATGTTGGGGATGGTTTATTGATAAAGTTAGATAGAATTTACATATGACCTTGTGTTTCTCACCAGTAGGTGAATCACTCCGTAAAAGAGCTCGTCAATTCCCTGCTCTTGTCAACTCTACTGTCATTGATTGGTTCCAACCTTGGCCTTAAGATGCTCTCTATAATGTTGCTTAACAATTCTTAAAAGATATTGATGTACCCACAGATTAAGTTAGAGAGGCTATTGTTAAATTCATGCCATTCTCATTCAAATTAGTTAATGATTTATCAGTCAAATTGTTAGAATAAGAAAGAAGATATGTCTATACTACACCTAAATCATTCTTAGAATTGATCAAATTATATATTTTCATGTTGAAGACTAAGAAGGGAATGCTTGAAAAGAATAAGGAAAGATATGAAAATGGTCTTATCAAATTGAGATCTACCTAAGCTTTAGTGGCTGAAATTGAAATTCAAGTCAAGGAAAAACAATAAGAAGCTGAATAAATTAAGAATGAAGCTAATCAAGTAGCTGAAGTTGTTGGGTAAAGAAAAAGCAAAGGCTGAAGTTGAAAATGCAAAGGCAGCAGATGAAGAAGCCTAAATGTTCAACCATCAAATAAGATGTTGAATAGAAAAAGACATCCACCCAAGCAGATTTAGATGCTGCTATCCCACTTGTTGAATAAGCCAAGGCTGCCTTGAATGGGTTGAGTGAAAAAGATTTCTAAGTTGCTAAGAACTTTGCTACTCCACCTTCTGGTGTACCAGATGTCTTCTCAGCTACCATTTTCTTATTGGCTGGATTCTATAATGAACAAATCGAAGTTGATCCAAAATCAAAGAAACCTAAAGCTTATGATTGGAAGAGTGCATAAAAGATGATGCAAAAAGCCAAAAGAATTGTTGAATAAACTCATGGGTTTCAAAGATATTGTAGATGCAAATCAAGTACCCACAACAAATGTAGATTTTGTTAAGAAAAACTATTTGAATTTAGAACATTTCAATGCATAAACTATGGCTAATAAATCATCAGCTGCTAGAGGTCTATGCGATTGGGTTATCAACATTGTCAAATATTATGATGTCATCCAAATTGTAGAACCTAAGAGATAAGCACTTAAAGAAGCTATTCAATAATTGGATGATGCTAATGCAAAATTGGCTAAAGTCTAAGAACAAGTGAAGGAATTAAATGATAGATTAGCTGTTTTGACTGCTGATTATAATAAAGCTATGGCACAATTATAAGCTGCCTTAGATTAAGCTGCCAAATGTGAAAAGAGACTTAATTCTGCCAATCGTTTAGTTAAAGCCTTAGGAAGTGAAAATGAACGTTGGGATTAAGCAATTAAAATGTTAGAAGGCTAAATTTAATTATTAAGTGGAGATGTTTTAGTTTCAGCTGCCTTTGTCTCATATGCTGGTCCATTCAACAAGAGATTCAGAGATGTTATGATTAAGGACTACTTCCTGAAATTCATCATTGATAACAAAGTTCCACTTAGTAATAATGCTGATCCAGTGAAATTATTGACAGATGAAAGTACTATTGCAAAATGGAATCAATAATTATTGCCAAGTGATGCTGTCAGTACTGAAAATGGTACCATTTTAACTAACTCTGAAAGATATCCATTGATCATAGATCCTTAATTATAAGGAATTAAATGGATTAAAGAAAAGGAATCTTCAAACAATATGAAGATCTTACGTATTGGATAAAAAAATACAAATAGATAAATTGAATTCTCTATCTAAGCTGGTAATCCATGTTTAATTGAAAATATGGATGAAAGAATAGATGCAGTTTTAATGCCTGTTATTGCAAGACAATTTATCATCAAGAGTTCAGGATAAAAGAAGATTAAATTCGCTGGTTAAGAATTGGATGTTCATCCTAAATTCTAATTGTTCTTACACACACAATTGAGTAATCCACACTATCCCCCTGAAATCTAAGCAGAAGCTACTCTTATCAATTTCACTGGTCACTGAAGATGGTTTAAGTGATTAATTATTAGCCTTGGTTGTTGGTAGAGAAAGACCAGATTTGGCTTAGAAGAAGGTAGAATTGATTCTAACAATAAAATTCATTCAAAATTAAATTAAAAGAATTGGAAGATGAATTATTATATAAATTAGCTAATGCTGAAGGTGATATTTTGGAAGATATTGCTTTGATTGAAAATTTAGAATATTCAAAGAAGATCTCTACAGAAATTGCTGAAAAAGTAGAAATTGCTAAGGCCACTGAAGCTAAAATCAATGAAACATCAGAATAATACAGAAATGCAGCTGCAAGGGGCGCCTTAATTTATTTCTTATTGACAGATCTATCTAAGATCCACTCTTTCTATAAATATTCATTGGAATCCTATTTGGTTGTAGTTCATAGAGCTATTGATTTAATTTCTGAACATAAATATGTACAAACAGGTGTCATGTTAGATGAGAAAGCAGCAGCTTAAATTGATCTTGGAAAGAAGAAGGAAGGGGAAGATGAAGAAGCAGCTGAAGGAGAAGAAGGAGAATAATAAGAAGAATAACAAGAGGAATAATAATAAGAATAACAATAAGAAGAATAATAATAAGGTGAATAATAAGAAGGAGAATAAGGAGAAGGTTAATAAGGAGAAGGAGAAGAAGGAGGAGAAGCTAAGGAAGGTGAAGAAGGAGAACAAAAGAAAGAAGAATAAGCTGAAGAATAGAAGAGAGCTGCTGATGACGATCAACTCACTCCATAATCATTGAGAAAGAGAGTTAATTAATTGATTGAAAGTATTACTTATACATCTTTCTAATATGCCAGAAGAGGATTGTTCGAAAGACACAAGTTGATTGTATCAACTATGCTTACTTTGAGAATCAATTTGAAAGCAGGAAAATTACCAAAAGAATAAGTTGACCATTTGATTATTGGTAAAATTGAATTAAATCCTCCTCCTATGCCTGAATCATTGAAATCATTCTTGAATGATACTATTTGGGCATGTTGCAAAGCTTTGGAATCAATCCCTGAATTTAATGGTCTTGGATAAAGTTTAGAAGTTGACAATCTCCAATGGAAGAAATGGTATAATGAAGAAAAGGCTGAAATCAGTGATCTACCAAAGGCATTCAGTCATCTTAAGAAATTCCATAGATTACTATTACTAAGAACAATGAGACCTGATAGATTGACATCAGCTATGGCTAATTATGTTGCTGAAGAAATGGGAGATAAGTATGTTGAATAACCTCCATTCTCTATCTTTGAAACCTTTAGTGAAATGGCTCCAACCACACCTATTTTCTTCGTCTTATTCCCAGGAGTTGATCCTACTCCTGAAGTCGAAAGAGTGGCTGCCTAATATGATATCACATCATTTAATGGCAAATTCATCAACATCTCTATGGGTCAAGGTCAAGAAGAAATTGCTAGAAAAGCATTATTGGATTGTGCTGTTTAAGGACATTGGATTATGTTACAAAATGTACATTTAATGTAAAATTGGTTGACAGGTCTTAATGGTTTGGAAGGATATCTTGAAACAGTTTATGCCAAACATCATCCAAACTTTAGGGTGTTCATTTCATCAGAACCTCCTCCTCTGCCTGAAATGAAGATTATTCCAGAATCTATTCTATAAGCATCTGTTAAGGTCGCTAATGAAGCACCTTAAGATTTAAAGGCTAATCTCAGAAGAGCATATGCTCACTTTGATTAAGAGTTCTTGAATAAATGTTAAAAGAAACCAATCAGAATTCAAGGCATGTTTGTTTGCTTTGTGCCATTTCCATTCCTTAGTCTTGGGTAGAAAGAAGTTTGGTGCTTAGGGATGGTCTAGAATTTACAACTTCAATGATGGTGATCTAACCATATGTGCTAATGTCTTGTATAATTATTTGTCCAAATATGATGTTGTCCCTTGGGATGATTTGAAATATATTTTTGGTGAAATTATGTATGGTGGACACATTACAGACGATTGGGATAGAAGAACTAATGCCACATATTTGAGAGTCTTAATTAAACCAGAATTATTACAACCAAATTTCAGTTTGGGTCCAGGATTTAAATCACCAGATCCTTCAAGATTCGAATATGAATAATATAAGGGATACATTGAAAAGAAATTACCAATTGAATCTCCATAAATGTTTGGTATGCATCCAAATGCCGAAATTGGTTACTTGACATAATAATGTGAAACCTTATTCAGTACCATTTTGGATGTTCAAGGAGGATCTAGCAGTGGTGGTGGAGGTAAAAAAGATGATGGAGTCATGACTTAATTGACATTATTAAAATCTACAACTCCTGCTGATACTAATTTGATGGATGTCACAGCTAAGGCATCAGAAAAGACACCAGATCAAATTGTCTGTTTATAAGAATGTGAAAGAATGAACATCTTATTAGGTGAAATCAGAAGATCACTTGAGGATCTTAGACTTGGTATGACAGGTGCTTTGAATATCACAGATTAAATGGAAGCCTTATCTCTATCATTATAATTCAATAAAGTCCCTGCCAGTTGGGAGAAGTTTGCCTATTTCTCAAGAAAGGGTTTGGCTGCCTGGTTCAATGATCTAATTGAAAGAACAAACTAATTAGCAGTATGGACACAAGAGATGGTCACCCCAATTTCATTATGTATTAGTTATTTGTTCAATCCCATGTCATTTTTGACTGCCATTATGTAGAAGACTGCCAGAGAACAAGGATTACCTTTAGATGATGTAAGATATTATTATTTATATTATTTAGATGGTCTTGTAAACAAATGTTACAGCAATCAAAGGACATGAAGAAGTTACTGTTTCAGCTGAGACTGGTGCTTATATTCATGGTTTGTATTTGGAAGGAGCTGCATGGGAATTGGGTGGTTAAGGATAAGAAGGATATTTGATCGAATAGAAATAGAAGGAATTACATCCAAAATTACCAGTTGTTAATGTGATTGCTGTGACTGCCGAGAAAAAGAAGAAGATTGGATAATATTAATGTCCAGTTTACGTAACATCAATGAGAGGACCTACATTTGTATTTACAGCAAATCTTAATATGGAAAATGAGGATTCAGACCCCTCTAAATGGATTCTCAGTGGTACTTGTCTACTGATGAGTGATGATTGAGGAATATTTGAAATTTATTATATATATTATATATATTCATATTTTAAACATAAATATCTTTATTCAACTAATACAATTGTATTACTTACTAATTATATAATTCGCCCAATGTCTATAATCATTCAATTATCATATAAGAAGTTTATTTTTGTATTTAATAAAAAATAGGTTTCTTGTTTTTGAATGACATAAAATGCATCTAATCATATCATTCATATTAATTATAAATTAGTTGATTGTATGTATAGAGTTGCATAATAATAATGTGATATAAATTCTTTTGATAAGATTGTATTCAAGTAGAGCATATAATTATAACATAATTAATATTGTTTTTATTAGAATGTTTAAATTATAAGATTATATATATATATATAAATTTTGGTTTCACCACTCATAAAGTATTGCTATAAAATCAGAAACGAATTAGAAAAACTTAGGATAGTAATACTATGTTCATAATTCGATATAAAAAGGACATAAATAGAATTTGGCAGATGTAAAACAGCAGTATCATAATTTGCTATAATATCTGAAAAATAAGATCTTGATTTAAATAGCTATTGTTGATTGATGGAAGGAATAATTAGCGGAATGATCTAATTTTTAATTATTAGAAATCTGAAATTAGAAACCTAATATAGATTAAAATATTAATGTAAATCCATATAAAATAGAAATATAACAACTTAATGAAATTGTAATCAAAGTGCTGCAAAAAGGATTGGATTAATTGTTGGTTAAATTGATTATTTTAATTTGTAATATAAATTAAATCTCAAAATTGTGTATATGATCTTAACTTTATCAAATAATTATATACTTGTTAAACATTATTTTTGCAAATTAGAGAAAATAACTAATATAATGCTATAGATGGAACTTAGGAAAATAATATCTTTTATGTTAAATTAAATGAATTTAAAAATTTAAGAATTTGTATGTGTTTAAATAATGGATAGGAATGGAAACTAAAATTTTCTAAAGTAAGAGTTAAAATCGCATCTTTGTAGACATCATCTCTAAATTCAAAAGAAAAACTCATATGATAGAAGGAGAATAAAATTTTTGAATCAGAAAAAAGATAATATAACCTAAATTTGGATACATAAAAATAATTAATTAGTATTTTGAACATGTTCAAACTCATTTGCTTGTTTGTTTTTACATTAGCAGGATGTAATTGCAAATGCAATTAAAATGAATATGATCCAGCTATCTGTATTTTATAGATAACTGATTCAAAATGTATTTAATAAAAGTTTATTGAATAGGCTTGTATGATGAATTTCTGAATCAGTGCATAGAAACTAGTAATTAAAATTTAGGTTGTTCTCATTATTTGAATCGTAATGCTTGTATAAATTAATTAACGATTAGTGGAAATGTTGAGAAGAGATGTAAATAATAATTTATATATAGGCATATTTTAAAATAGATGTATAGATGTTAACATATACCATCTGAAAAATTTAGGTTGCAGCGATTCATTTTCAAAATATGCTTGCATTAATGTAGTTAATAAAGATTGTTTTTGGAATGGTTCTTAATGTGAAGATTCTTAAAAGATTATATTTTCAGATAATTCGAAAGAAGAAATATATCCATACTCTGTTACTCCATAACTATGTGCTAAATATCATAAATATCCTTGTAAATGACATTAATAATAAAGGTATCAATACAGGACCACAAGGAGATTATAAATGTGTTATAATTAATTAGATATAATTTAAAGAATTAAAATGTTCGACCTTGGGTTTAAATGAAATAGGATGTGTTTCAATTTTGACACGGAATGAAATGTGTAATTTTATATATCATATTAGGCCTCTTTGAAAATAATTAATGTAAAACCATAAATCCTTCACAGATGATAGAATGCTCTTAAAAAATAAACAAATTAGCTTGTTTATCTATTACAACACCTAATTTATTATGTCAATGGTAACAAAATGAATGCCGTGTTTATAAATTTGATCAATAAGTTACATGTCTAGATATTGTTGATGTTAACATAAATGTATGTGCTAATTAAGAAGGTTTATGTATGTTTGATTAATTAAATTACAAATGTACATAGTTAAATTAAAAATAATTGGAATATTTAAATTGCGATACTCCTGGAATAACAAAATTTGCTTGTTTATCCATCTAAAATTAATATTGTACTTTCAATTAAGGGTTTTGTCAAACATTATCTGAAAATGATTTAAGTAATTATTAATGTTAAATGCAATTAAATTAAGCAGCTTGTATTAATATTAAGACAAAAGGTTAATTATGTTTATGGAATGGATAAGGTTGTTAAAATGTAGAAATTACTTAAGATTAAGATTGCAATAATTTTGATCGATTTTTAGTTAATGGAAATGTTTGTTAAGCAATCAAAAAGCCATATGCAATGTGTAAATATGATGAAATAACTAAAATTTGTGTTAAAAGTTCAACAAATGATTATTGTACTACTCCATATTTAAATTTATATGGATGTGTCAGTATTTCAAGAGAGAATTAGACTTGTAAATGGATAGATTCAAGCTGTTGAAGATATTGTAATAATACCATTTGAAACACTTTGTAGTAGTTTTGGAATATGCAAATTATTAAGCATGTCAACAAGTATTTGAAAATAATTAAATGGGTTGTTATCATGATTAGAAAAAATCCTAATGTGTATCTTTATTAATAAGCACTGATAACGAAACTAATATAAATCTACAGGAGATACAAAAGGCTAATTAATATTTATCAACTGTTTCATGTTTTGATAAATCTTTAGGATTGAATAGAATCATATGTGGATCTATCACTACGAAAAATGTATTTTGCAGATGGCAATAGAATAGTTGTAAATTTATGAAAAAAGAAGCTATTGCTAATATTCCTTGTACAGATCTAAAATATGCTAATCCATCAACGTGTGCTTAAGTAAAATACAACAATGAATTTTGCAGATATTTTAAAGAAGAAAAAGGATGTACAAATCAATTAAAAGGTGAAATGAATTGTATTGATCTTGGGCTTAATACAATTAGTTGTAAATAGGCTAAAGAGAATTGTTACTTTGACAACGATAGATGTTAAAGTATTGGTGAAATTTCAACTTAAATTACTCCTGAGGTTTAAATCATTTTAGAAAAACTAACTTGCTAATCTAATTTTCCAACTATAATGATTTGCTTAGAAATATAAACTAAAGGTTAATTATGCTAATGGTCAATTATGTATTAATAGTGTAGAGACATCCTAGTACTTCCAAATAAAAAATGTTCAGATTTCTCCTCATTTCAAGTAAATGTTAATGTTTGTGCATCTATTACAATGGAAAATCCAAATAACATTATTTTTGGTATGGAATAATCCTTTGAGGGATAAAATCCTGGTTATTGTGAATATGACAGAACAAAAAAGATTTGTAAGGTAAAAACCAAAGATTGTACTTCTGAATGTTGTACAGAAAATGAAGAAATAGGAATAAATGTACATTCATGCAGTAGATTCTCAAGTAAAAATCCAGGAGTTTATTGTTATTTTAAAGACTTCAGATGTTAGCAACTCACAAACTAAAATGTAGATATCTCAAATCCTAATAATGTAAAGAGTTACTATAATGAAAAAAAATTTAATTGTGCTTAAATGAATAAGAATTCTTGTCATATGATTGATTGGGTCAACTTCTTAAACTTGCTATTATAATGGATTTGCTTGTGTAAATTTGAATTTAAAAAAGTAAGTAGACCTGATAGAATTTACAAAACCCTCTTCAATTCTCAATATTTATGCCTGTTTAGCAATTGAGGCAGTGAATAGCATCAATTTAAGTTAAAAATATTTTGAGTATAATTAAGAAGGTAAAAACTGTAAACTACTTCTACAACCATATCCATTATATTAAACTTGTGAAAGTGTAACTGGAAATTCTAACATTTGTTTAGGACTTACTAGTAATCTTTATTGTAAATGGAACAAAGAATTGTTAAAATGTGTTACAATTACAGAAGATTAATAATAAGAAATCCTCACATGCAATGAATATCAAAATATCAAATCATGCTTAGAAAATTAATACTCAGCGTGCCAATTCTCTCTTGCCTAAGATAAATGTATTAATGCACCTTTAGATCAGGATTGCTCATATTTCAATACTACAGGTAAAGTAAGTAGGAAAACTTGTTCATTAATAACGAAAAGTGGCTAAATTTGTGAATTTTAAGATAATTATTGTGTTGTTTCTAACAAATCTATTGAAGGATGTAATTTAGATGGAATTAATAAAAGAGGTTGTTTTAAGAATACTAAAGGAAATTGCAGATGGGATGATGTCTCAGGTTAATGCTATGAAAATAAAACAGTATTATAAGAATTGGAATGTAATAATAATTTAAATTAAATCTTATGTATGAAAGTAACTAAGTAACCATGCATGTGGAATGATGATCAATATTAATGTGTTTATTTTAATCAAATGACTAAAGATCAATATTTAGAATAAAATCCTAAGAATTAATATAATCAATGGGCTTGTACCCTAATAGTTGGTGCTGGATACACATTTGATGCAGATAATCATAAATGCAAATTACTAGATAATACTTAAAATTTTGGATGTTCTGATATTTAGATGAATAATTATGCATGTTAATTTTTAACAAAAGGTTCAAATTGTTATTTTGATTAAAATGAAAAAACCCTCCAAAATGTAAAATTTTCAATATGGGAATCAAACAATTTGCTCATATAAATATGCCATAAATATTGAAGTCTGTATGAATAATACCAAAATCATGTAAATTCTCTCTTCAGAATTTATCTTGTATAACATTATAAGTAAAAGCAGATACGAGTTGCTTAGATCTTTAGGACTTAATAAACAGAGGAGATTATGTTAATAAACTAGGATGCTCCTCTATATCAGAATCTTTAGAAGGGAATGATGGAGAATATTAATGCTATTAAAATAAAGAATTTGTCTAATAATGCAATTATTAGAGATTTTGTTATTGGGATAATTACACCTGCAAAGTGAGTAAGTAATAAATTCATACATTTGATTATGAAAACTACGTCATCAGTTAATAGTCATATTGGGTATATCAACATAATAACTGCACTGATACTGCTGAATGTAATTAAATATGTAATAAATTCAGAATTTAAAAGTGATGGCTTAACTTATCCTGGCAAGAGTGATTAATTAAAATGCGGATTAGGAAGATGTGATTATACAAATGAACCCTGTTCTTTAAGTGATGATTGTGGATAGATTTTAATTGAAAATCTTAAGATTAATGATGATGGCACAATATAACCACCTATTGTATAGAATTAAACGTGCTAAAAATATTGTTAGTAACAATTAGAAATCTAACCCTGTAAGGATACAGACCCCCCACCTCAAGAAGTCTTAAACCCTGAAATACTTTAATAATAAAAATGTTTTGGAAGTTGTAATTACACAAAAGACCCTTGCTAAATGTTTAGCGATTGTCCAAAAGCTTAATAAACTTTAGTAAATCAAGTATAACTTGAGAACAATACTATCAATATAACTACTATTATACAAATAACTTAACTCTGTGATTCATATAAATGTTCAGATAGCCATAAATCTTGTAATAAGACAGCTGATTGTTTTCCTTTTGTAGCTAAATCTTGGGAACTTTAGGATGCAATATGTAAAAAATAGGATATCTATACTAAATCAGAAATCTGCAAAGGGTTTTATTATCTGCAGTTAAAATGCCGAAACATTTTTTCTAAAGCTCTTTGTATTCAAATGACAAATGAAAACTGTTACTTTGATTTAAATTAAGGTGGTTGTATTTAGCTTGAAGGGAATGAACATAAAGTTCCAAATTGTGATAGCATAAAAAATACTCGCAAACCAACTAAATAATGTGATAACTTTACCAATATTTGTAGATTTAGTGGGTAATAATAAAATGAATATCAGAATACATGCCAAGCAGTATCTTCATAATTAGTGTAATGTAAAGATAGTAGTGAATAAAGTGTTGCAGATAATTCATGTCCGGCTAATACACATCATTATATAACTTGTGTTAGAGATTAAAATTTTCAAAGCTCGTTGTCATGTATAAGGGTTCTTAATCCATCAATATTTAATTGCGCTGCAGTAGCTGATTATTGTCGATATTCAAATGGAGTTTGTATATCTGATCAGAATACCTATCCATGTAAATGTGATAAAAGCTTCAGTAAATCTTGGTGTGAATTTTGTAAATGCAACTTCGATTTGCTTGGATACTGTTAACTTGAGAGTAAACCTATTCAAAAATTACCTGACAATTCTAATCAATATTATTTATGTTATGAGGTGAATTTGTTACCAATTGATGCTGATGGTAAAAAAAAAGTTTGTGGAATGGTCGATTAAGCATGTCGATACACTTTTATATGTGAAGATGCAACTCATTATAGTTGTGATTACCTTCTAAATTTGGTTGTATCTAAAAGAGCTTGCATCAGGTGTAATTCTTTAAGTGTTTATTATGATGAACAAAAATAATTTTGTAAAATATAGGAAGATGATATAAAATAGTGCAACTCATTAAACAAATAGGCATGTTTATAAATGACAAAAGGGATAAAATGTAAATGGGAAGATTATGAATGTAAATAAATAGATAGAATAACCGGATCTGATAGTAGAGATTGTTCAATTTATAATTAAGATGCTTGTATATAATTCTAGTAAGATTGTTGGTTTGATTAGAATATTGGTTATTGTACATAGTTTGATCCAACTTAAGGTTCTTGTAATTTATTATTAAATGAAGATCTTTGCTTATTTTCATTAAAGGAATCTTGTTTATGGGATTCAATTAATTTAAAGTGTATGAAGAATGATAATCAAATTACATAATGTTCAGATTTAAATAAATTTGGATGTTTAAATTAATCAATCATGTCATGTGTATGGTCAGATCTTTATAAATGTTAATGGGCTATATTAAATGATAAAGTAATATCATGTAATTCTGTATTATCAAATACTTAATAATCATATATTACACATTTTAGTTAAAACATTTGTTCTTAATTAAAGATTCAATCAAGTTGTTTCTTAGATAATTATTATTAATGTAGATAAACTATTATTACAGATATAATTAAATGTAATACTTAAGGATTAAATAAATTTGGTTGTATTAATAGATCAATAGGATAATGTTAATTTAAAGATGAACAACATTAATGTATAGAAAATACAAATGATTAAATTGGATGTCTTGATTCATTAAATAAATAGGCTTGTATTTCTTAAAAATAAACATGTAAATTTGAGAATAATATCTGTTCTCTTCATTAAGTAAATACAATTAATGATATCATTAATTCTACTTTATTATTCGTTTATTCTAAAAGTGTTTGTTATGCTATAGATTAACAAATAACAGATTGTTTGATATATAGTGAAATATAAAATAGATGTATTAATGTATCTAATAGATAACCTTTTATTGATAATTGTTATAAATTTACAATGAATAAGTATGCTTGTTTATAAAAAACATTATAAACATGTGAATATAATTAAAATGAAAATAGTTGCATTTAAACATCATAATAAACTTTGAAAACTATTAATAATTGTTTTCCTGAAAAATATTTAAATTGGATTTCTTGTATATCTTTACCTTCTAATTGTAAATTCAATGGAATAAAATGTTAATCTATTGATTTAAAAGTTGATACTTGTGAATCTTTATCTAAATCTATAATTTATAGTTAAAGCTTCAGTTTGTGCAACTACAAATGATCGAAATTGTAAATTAAATATTACTTAAAATACTTGTGAAATACTATTAGAAACTGATAATTTCTAATGTTCAAGTCCAGGTTTAAATAGAAGAAGTTGTTTATTCTAAACAAAAGGCTATCTTTGTAGATTTCAAGATGATTAATGCATTTTTGATTTTGGATAAGCTTAATGTGAAGATATGATTAATGAAGATAAATGTTATTCAATCAAAACCAAAGGTTAATACTGTACATTTGATTCATCCAAAGGTTGTTATTCTATTGATAATTCTTAAGGAGAATTACTTAAAATGTATTCATTCATTTAAAACTAATCCTATTACCTGTTCAAAAAGTACAGACATACCATGTTTTTACGATTAATATAACAATATATGCATACCTTTTCTTGATAATAAAGAATATATATCAGTCTCTCAATTTAAACTGGAATAACAAAATATCATTTAATTCATTAATGTGTCAAAGATATTCTTAAGGGACTATTAAGGTATTTTGGAAAATCTAAGACAATTATGAAGAATGCTTTGAAGTCTAAGAAGCTGAACTGAGAATTTTGAAGTGTAGCGATAAACTAAATGAAAACGGATGTGTTAATATTCAAACATCATTCTAATTGTGCTAATATGAAAATTATATTTGCAAGGCAATTAATCTTGATAGCCCAAACATAAATACTAATTGTTCTTATTATCAAAAAATTAATAGTAGTGGCTATCTGTTAAATAACAACCGATAATCCTTTGTGAATATGAATATAAGTAATAAAAGATGCTAAGAACTTACTTAAGCCTCTGAAGTGGATTGCGATTAGAACCAAACTTAAAACAAGGGGTACAATGGGTTAGCATGCAATAAAAATAATAATTGCATCTTTTATGATGGCACTTGCTATAACAAAATTGGAGATTCAATAGCATTTTGCTCAGACGTAGATTCTACATAAATATAACTTTGTAAAGAAATTATTACTTAAGGTTGTACTGTAACTAAAGACAGGTGCATATCATTATTACCAAACAATTATATGTCCATCAAGTGTAATGAAGCAGTTAATATAAAAGGATGTATATAAATTTAAACTCCAGGATAAACTTGTTTTTTTGATTAATATTTAGAGATATGCAAATTCTAAAATTTATATATTGACTTTAAATCGAAATGTTTAGAGCTGAACAACATAAATTCTTTTAAATTCTGTGAATAAACTACAGATTAACCATGCAAATATAATTTAATGATGAATAAATGTGAGATTGCAGCTGGAAATAATTATGATTGTATTCGTGGATTGAATAAAATGGCATGTTATAATTTAACTGATAAATCATAATAATGCAAATATCTAAATTATTGTTATGGACCAAATGATAAAATACTGGAATGTAATCCTAATAATTATTATGATTGCTGCCGTGAAGCATTAACCAAAGAGTCATGCTTATTTCAAAAAAGATTTGAATGTTAATGGCAAAATGGATGTTAGGCTTATCAATAAAAAATTTAAAATGAATGCAATTAAATTAAAGATGCTTCAGTAACTGTTTGCACATCTATAAAGGACTCATTTTGTATATTTGATGCTGAAAACTTCAATTGTAAATAAATTACTCCTGAAAGTTGTGATGAAATCTAAACTTCTGATCAATGCAATAAAATAACAGAATATCCTTGTATCTGGGATGAGCTTAATGAAATTTGCATCTATAAAGATAAAGATATTTTAGATTAATGCACCAACATTAGTGATAATAATGGCAATTTGAAAGCATGTACTATGATAGAAAGAAGTGGTTAAAAATGTATATTTATAGATAATTAATGTAAGACATTTTACTAAAAAGATGGGATTAATAACTGTATTAATAATATTAATATTACATCTTGTTTATAATAAAATGTTAGTCCGTGTGAATGGGTGATAGAAGAAGTAAAAGTAAAGAAAACAAAGGATATTACAAAAATGGAAACCATAAAAATAGGAGAGTGCTAATAATTTACTGATTTTGATAATAGAGACTGTAATTTACTTCTAAGTTAAAAATCATGTATATCAGTTAGAAAATTAGGGTAATTTTGCAGATGGAAAAATAATTAATGCCAAAACTTTTCTTTATCTGATTATTAGATTAATAAATATAGGCAACCTGAATTAGCTTAAATAGTTAATCCAAATGTTTGTGGATTATATTAAGATTAAAGATTAATTTAATATTCTTAAGAACTTGCATCATGCATTGAAGTAAAAGATTCAAGCAAATTATCTTGTTAATAATCAAAATATGGTTTAAATTCAGTATCTTGTTTCAAAATTTAATCTGAATCGTGTAAGTGGAATCCTATCCACAAAACATGTGAATAAGTCACAATAAATAATACAAATCTTACAATATCTTGTGATTTGCCTGGCCTCAATTCAAAAGCATGTACATTAATTGAAATAAATGATAGTTGCGGTTTTATTGGCAACGGTTGTAGTAAAATAGATTTAAATGTTAATTGCAAACATTAAGGATTAAACAAATTTGCATGTTTAACAATTTTGAACTATCCTTGTGCTTGGATTAAGAATGAAGAGGATGAAAACTATCATTGTGATGACTATTAACCATATGATACTTGCAACAATATTAATCTGTAAGTTAACTCTATGGTATGCTCCTCTGGTTTAAATTGATGCTTGTTATTATAATAAATAAACTCAAAGTTGTGAATCTCCTAAAGAAACTTTGGATGGTTGTGATATTGAGGGTTTAAATTACATAGCATGTTCTGAAATAAAAGGATGTTATTTTGAAAATCATAAATGCTAAACACTTAATGAAGAAACATATAGTTGCCTTTAATATCCTAAAGCTCATTAAGATATTTGTAAAAATGCTTATGATTTATGTAAATATAGTCCTTTAAATTATGGTTGCGTACCTGCTTAATCCAATGAAATATGCAAAAGAGAAGGTTTAAGTTAATCCGGTTGTGTCAAATCATAAAATTAGTGCTTTTGGAATAAAAATAATTGTGAATGCTTGAGCATTTAAAATGTTTTTCCATTTTGTGATTAAATATTTGACTCTCAAAAATGTAATAAATTTAAACATTGCTAATATGACTATATGAAAACAAATAATAATGAAGTTAATTAATAAATTGAAAATTAAAATTTAGGGACTTGTCGACGAAAGCTTTGCTCAGAACTTACAAAAGGGTAATGTTAAAAGTTTTAAATATTGGATGATTATTGCTATTTAAACAATTAAAATAAATGTTAGAAGGCAAATTCATGCGAGGAAGTTAAAAATGCAAGCGAAATGTGCTCAAATTTAGTCATTAATGGTATTCCTTGTACAGAACATTCAGATAATATTACTTGTAAGAAATTAGAGTGTTCAAAATTGGATTATAAATAGTGTAAATTATTTTTTCTTTATTGCACTTTTACTGACCTTTGTAAACCCATATTATGTTAAGAATTGGAATCTGAAGACTCATGTAGATTTCATAATTGCCAATGGAACTACAATCAAAGTAAATGCAGTAATAATTAGCCATGCGAGAGTTATTCTACATCAGATTTGTGCAATTAAAATTCCTATAATAATGTTAAATGCATCTGGAAAATTGATAATGAAGAGAGATTTTGTACTGCTAAAGGATGTAGAGAGTTAGTTAAATTATAGGAATGTAGAAATACGTTTATACAAAAAAATATATGTGTCCGCCTTCAAGATGACACATGTTTATAATGTGAAGAAATTAAAGATTCATGTTTATGCATTGATCAAGAGTATTGCAGTTTCAACTATATTTTGCGATAATGCTAATCTATAAATTGCATTAAGTTAAATAATGAAAAAAAATGTTAACAATATCATTTTTGTTAATACAATTCCTCAAATAAGGTAAGAGTAAAATCTAATCTAGACTTGTCACTTTAATTGCGCTAATTATGATAATAACCTTGATTGTAGTAATGATTCTTCCAACTGTAAGTGGAATAATGAATAAAATAGTTGTACATTAATAAAAGTAGTTATCGATCCGTCTCCACCAGTAAATAATTTTGATTGGAAACTTTGTACTTGTGTTTGTATTCTTTTTTGGATACTAATTTGACCTAACTAAATTAATTATTTAGTTTTTAATATAAATATAAATTATATAATTCATATACTCAATATTAAAGAATTTAAATGAGTATTATTATTCTAAAAATTATACTATGGATATCCGAAACTACAATAATTGAGGAAGGTTCCGTATATTTGTAGAATTTTTTCTCTAATTAAATACATAATTTAGAATTTTTATCCCAAGTACAATATGATTCAAAATGGTTACATTGCTAGCGGTTATAATTATTTTCGCAAAGTGGAATACATATCTACTTTATATGTTGATAAATACCTGGCCCTTCTCATTAAATTAACATCTGTCAGCCGGACAAGTTTCATGATTGAAGCTTCCACATTATTTAGACTTACAAAGATTATCAAATTTATCATATTCACAATAATTTTCGTACTACAAACAAATACAAGGATCCATAATCTCTTAACAACTTACACAGGTTGAATCTGATAAAGGAACACAGACATCATCACCAATTTAAGCTCCATTACACAAAGAATACTTAATTAATAGATATCTACATCCTATAACTGAACAAAAATAATCCTCCCCTTCCTCTTCAATTAAAGCACACTATTTACCATTTTGTTAAACTAACATGCAATTTTCTTTGTTTTGAGAAGCACAAAATTGTGAGTTCATACAACTTTTATTTTATTCAAGCCATTCACATTTCTTGTCAATGCATTTCTATTTTATAGTAAAACGATAACATTCTAATGTCTTACATATTTCCTCAAAAATGCAATCTTGAGGAAATTATTAACAGGTGTAAGCATCTAGACTCTCGCAATCTGGTGAAGTTATACAATTCTTATTATTTGAATCTCTAAAACATTGTTTGTTCTTTAGGGTATATATCAAGCAATTATTTTAAGGATTCACTATATCATCACATGTTTTTGCCAAATTGCATTTATTATCCTAGGTTAAATAACATATATCAGTATCTAATTTCTAACCGTCACATTAATCTATTGAATAATAATCGCATGTCCTTCTTAAACATTTTACTAAATTTTAATCGATTATTTCTTAACTAATATCAACATTATATTAAGGATTAGAAGGTGCAACATAACAATAATTTAAATTTTAACATTTTCTGGAATTTGTGATAAATGAGCAATCTGGATATTAAGTTAGTATAGCCTTACATAGACATTGAGATTAATTCCATTGACAATCTAATAAATCATCGCAGCCAACTTAATTAATCCCTTTTGTTGAACATATATCCTATAACTCTGATGATATGCAACCATATCCTAAATTATTATATTTACATCTATTCCTTTAAATTTAAGTACAAACCTTATGATTAGAAAATAGAGCATCTTCACAATTTAAATTCATCGTTTTTTCATATTTCATACACCTACCTTGTAAATAAACACAATTTTCAATTTTAGAACATCCAATACCATTAATACCTGGTAGATTACAATTAATTTCTTATTGGGCTTTAAATAAAATGCAATTTCTTATTATAGAATTATAAAAGCAAGGAGCATCTAAAATTTAAGTGCATACAAATGCATTAACCTAATGATTATAGCCTAAACAAGCATCAAAATCTTGAATTAATTTACATTAATATTATAAAAGATAATCATCTTAGACCCATCCACAAGGATAATTTGTGATTTAAAGGCATGCATGCTCATTTAACCCTGGATAATCACAAGAAATTTTAGTTACATCAACTTGATCACAATCATTTTCTTTTGATCCACAAGGAAGAGATACTTATATTGATGAACATGATGCAGGGTTAATATTTTTTAAGCTGCAACTACTACTCTATATATTAAATTTAAGACATTTTTTTTTTGTGTCATCCCATTTACATTGTTGGTCTTTAATATTCAAACAAGCTTGCTTATTCATACCTTTAAAATCACAAGTTAGATTCTTTAGATTTGATGCATTTAAGCATTTAAAGTACTTAGTATCACATATTACACTAGAACCATCATTTATTAATCCACATGTATTACAGTTACACTAAGATAAGGATGAGAAAGATAAAATTTAATTAGTTTCAACATTTTTACATTAATTGTCTTTCCATTAACAAAATGTAACAGGGGTATTAATATTCAAACAAGCAAGATAACTAAGATTTGAATCACATTAATGACTAGATTGTTGATTGAAATCAAGACATAGTTATTTTTAATTTTGATCCCAAATACATTCGTATAATACTTATTATAAGCAAGATAATTTATTCACTTTTTATGAACAGCCTACCACTTATTATTACGTATAATCAGTGCATTGATTTTAAAAGATACACATTTATCCTTGTTTTACAACATCTAAGCATGTTCTTTCGCTACCCCATTAATCTTATATATCTTAACATCCATCATTAGGATTCTTTACTTTTGTTAAGCATTAGGCTTTGATAAAATCCCAATAACAAGGTAAATTATTAAATTAAATACATTATTCTTTTGTTTAAACTTATTCACAATGATTTGGTTGAATTTCTACACATCCTAATTTATCCAAATTGAAAATACAAATAACATCCTTAATATTATAACATACTTTTCTTGAAACATTATTTAAAGTTAAACATTCTTAATTCGATTCTGAATATTATTTACATTCTTCATTTTACCACTAACATAAAAATTTATCCTAAAATAAACAACTTTCAATAGTATTAGCTTAGAAGCAACAATCTTTGATTTTTATAGGGTCACAGTTAAGAATATTGTAATTAGGTCCGTAACAGTAATTATAGAATTTACATTATAAAGATTATTAAGTATGTGTTAAGCAAGCAATTTAATTCAAACCTCTTATGCATTAAAATTCTATATCTCCTTGGGCATTTTCGCATTTATGCTCTAAGGAATTGTGTTTGCAAGGAACAGCAAAGATTTGTTCACAAAATACTTAGCTATTAATTTAAGAGATACTTTTACAAATACCTGACCGTATTTCTAAATTTATAAGCTCACAAATATTATTTTACTCATTAAATTGACAAAATTGTTTTTTTGTAATGATGTTGATGCACCCAATTTTATTTGAAACTTGATTACATTCTAATTATGAATATTCACTAGGATTTATTGCAACACATTTATTTTACTCTATTTTACATCCTTCTCTTAAAGGCTTGTTGCATTCATTGACAGGAAATTCACTACAATATTTAATATTCTCAGTTGCCTTTTTTTAATAGCATCCATTTGAAAAAGTACAATCTGAGGATTTTAAATCACATGCCATTTTACTATATCCAAGCTATTCTGGATTAGCATCAACACATTGAATTTGGTTAATCGATATAACCTTCTCGCATGAATACATTTAATTATTAAATTAACAAGCTTCAATTTCATTTACCTAACAAAAAATTCCTGAATTTACTTTCTAAATATTACTGCAATGAAATGATTTAAAATTTTAAGGATCTTAAAATTAGCAATATTTAATTTACAATTTCGATCATTTGTAGTTGCACAAACTGAAGCTTTAACTATAAATTTTAGATTTAGATAAAGATTCACAAGTATCAACTTTTAAATCAATAGATTAACATTTTATTCCATTGAATTTACAATTAGAAGGTAAAGATATACAAGAAATCCAATTTAAATATTTTTCAGGAAAACAATTATTAATAGTTTTCAAAGTTTATTATGATGTTTAAATGCAACTATTTTCATTTTAATTATATTCACATGTTTATAATGTTTTTTATAAACAAGCATACTTATTCATTGTAAATTTATAACAATTATCAATAAAAGGTTATCTATTAGATACATTAATACATCTATTTTATATTTCACTATATATCAAACAATCTGTTATTTGTTAATCTATAGCATAACAAACACTTTTAGAATAAACGAATAATAAAGTAGAATTAATGATATCATTAATTGTATTTACTTAATGAAGAGAACAGATATTATTCTCAAATTTACATGTTTATTTTTAAGAAATACAAGCCTATTTATTTAATGAATCAAGACATCCAATTTAATCATTTGTATTTTCTATACATTAATGTTGTTCATCTTTAAATTAACATTATCTTCTATTGATCTATTAATACAACCAAATTTATTTAATCCTTAAGTATTACATTTAATTATATCTGTAATAATAGTTTATCTACATTAATAATAATTATCTAAGAAACAACTTGATTGAATCTTTAATTAAGAACAAATGTTTTAACTAAAATGTGTAATATATGATTATTAAGTATTTGATAATACAGAATTACATGATATTACTTTATCATTTAATATAGCCCATTAACATTTATAAAGATCTGACCATACACATGACATGATTGATTAATTTAAACATCCAAATTTATTTAAATTCTGAACATTATGTAATTTGATTATCATTCTTCATACACTTTAAATTAATTGAATCCCATAAACAAGATTCCTTTAATGAAAATAAGCAAAGATCTTCATTTAATAATAAATTACAAGAACCTTAAGTTGGATCAAACTATGTACAATAACCAATATTCTAATCAAACCAACAATCTTACTAGAATTATATACAAGCATCTTAATTATAAATTGAACAATCTCTACTATCAGATCCGGTTATTCTATCTATTTATTTACATTCATAATCTTCCCATTTACATTTTATCCCTTTTGTCATTTATAAACATGCCTATTTGTTTAATAGGTTGCATTTTGAAACACTTCTCGTCAGAAGATAATAGCAAATATGATTATTAATGTCATATTAAGTACTAGCACCCTTACATAGAGTGCAGGCTTTCTTTGTTGTGTAATATCCCTTCAATTGCTCGCATGTATAATGAGTTGCATCTTCGCATTTATTATTATTAAAACTTTGCATGCCTATTCAACCAAAGTACAAACAATCAGACTTACTCAGAATATTTAATTGATTAACTTCATGACATAAATAATATTTGTTTGATGCATCAGGTCTTAGTTATGGAGCAAGTGGATATTATTGGCAATATCCAACAAAATCAAATACACAATTGCATTCTTCACAAAGCGATTTACTAAAACTTGAATCACAAATACATTAATTGTATTAATTTTTCTTTATAGTACTAACACAACGATTTAACTCAAAGCGACATGGATCTCTTGCTAATGCACAATAAGCAGGAGAAATATCTTAAGTAATAGCATCACAATATATATCTTCAGTCAGAGTCACAGGTTCACATATCTAAATTGGTCTTTATAAAGAGAAGCATTAACTTTAGGTCGGTAATATTTTCATTTATCCAGCTTTACAAATTACTTTTTAATTAGAACTGCTTAAACAAGAATTTAAGAAACTGTTAGGTTAGCATTCTGTGCTACTTTTACAAATTTGCTTTTTTGGATCACATTACAAAGCATTTTGAGTAGGTTTACATCTGCTAGAAATTGATGAACAATTAGGTATTTTATTTTCATTTCCTTTTAATTATTAACATCCTCCTTAATTTAAATCAAAGAAACATTCTTCTAAAACGCCATATAAACAAAGTGATTTTGAGAAAGTATTTTTGCATCTTAATTCAATATAACCAAATCCTTTACAAATAGGAACTACTTTATAAATAGTTTTCTCGAAACATTAAGCAAATTTTAGAGTCCAACTTTTGGAAACATAATCAGGACACTAATCATTACTGCAGGAGACTTGACTGTAAGTACATTCTTTATTCTGACATATATTTTAATAATAGCTGGTTTGAAAGGTAATATAATCAGTAACAGAAGTATACCCACATTCAAAACTTTCATAGCATGAGGAATATCCTGAATTATTGCATCTCCCTTGGCAAGATTAATGACCAATTAGAGCATCACTAATAATTTCTTATGGATTTTAGTCACTTTATTGATTGCAGATCATATCACCGTTTTTTTAACATCGTTTTGAGCATAATTAATTTTACTTAATACCTAAATACAACGTGCCATCATCATTTATTTTAATTGGATCTTTGTAAATGGTTGGACAATCAGAATCTGTTTAACAAAGTTTATCTTAATAATCACATGTTTTATTTAAGCCACATTGTAAAGGAGCAGAAGTTCCTGGAAATATTATCTTATTTGTTTTGGAATATACTTCTGGGGTTTTTACGAATTAATTGCAGTAATTTGTACAATTATCTATTTAATACCTGTATTCATAAACTGAACTTTTTTCGGTATTTTCTTTATCAAAAAATAATACATTTAAAATTTTGACTTAACACCCATAAATTTGATTATGCCATTCACATTTATTTTCATAATTACACTTTTACTTTTTATCTTCACTCCCAAAACATTTATCTTCAGAATAAGTCTATTTTATTGATTCATCAATGGAAGAGCAAGATAATTTATTATAATGATTTCCATTATATAATTAGGCACCTAAAGAAGAGCACGTTTAAGACTGAGGAATATCTGCAACTAAACATTATAATTTGGATTTAGAAAAGTAACATTATTTAGAAATATTCATGCAAACTTCAATATTTATAAGATTGGAAGTTGTACATACTGATTAATCATCTGTGAAAAATTAACATGGAGGCATTTTAGTAGTATCATATACACAATTATATCCTCTTGTCAAATATAAGCAAGCATATTAATTTATCATCTAAAAACAGGAGTTTTGATTATTTGAATTTTCAATAAATATACACTTATTTTTCTTATCATCATATGTATATCCAGCTCCTGTTATCTATAGACAAGATAATGGATTAAACAAATTATTTTTATTTAAATCTCTGAAATCGCTATAAGGAGTTTAATTAAAGGTAACACATTCATATAATGAATCATCCCACATGCAAGGTTCCTTAGTTACTTACTTACATAGAACATAATTTAAATTATCATTGCATCCTAATTCAACTATTTATTTTAATGACCCTATTTCATAACATGTTGAGTTTTCAATACTCCATCTACAATTTCCCTATGTATTTTTATAGCAAGTATATTTATTAGTTCCGATTACATCACATTTATTTGAACTTTTATTTGTCAAAATGCATTTATAATTTTACCATTCACATTATTAATTAGGAAGGTCAATTTATGAGCACGACTTTTATGATACATACCCTTTAGAATCAAAATAGTTACATGGAACATAAGTATAAGCAGTTATGCATCTATCTAAATCAAAAGAAAAAAAACAAGAAGAGTAAATATTTTCTTTACATGCTTTAATATTTTAATTCTGATCGCAAGTAGTTATATCTGCAAATTCATCTAATGAGATTGTGACACATTTTAATAGCTTTTTATCCCATTTACAATAATTATTTTCGGTAAATCTTAAGCATATATTAGAATTGCCTTGAACATCCTCACATCGTGCATAATATGGAGGTGAAGTTTAATAATTCCTACTAATACAACGATGATTTTAAGGATCGTATTCAAAATATTTTTCAATGTTGAAAATAGTTAAGGATGCTTCAATTGCCAAACAAGCAAAACGATTTAAAATAGAAGGAGCTTCTGTAAAAATTTTATAATTCTTATAGTTTTCAAAGTTGATGTTAACGCATGAAAATCCATTAAAATAACATCTTTAAGAAGTCGACCATTCAATCATATGACATGAATTTTTACCCATTTATGAACACTTAAATCCATCAACCTCATTAGCATTATAAAATTGTTTAACAGCTTCTTCATTTTTTATATCAACTTAATTTTATGTCAATTCTTTACACCTATAATTATCGAAGTAGCAATAACTACTAGAATTCTTGGTTAAAAAACTGCATGAATGTTAATTTATTCCATTAAATCTACCTTCAGTACAACAATTTGTTTCACAAAGTTCGTTACCATCTAAGAGATCACAAGAAAAATTATTTGAGTTATATTTACAATAGCCAACTTTTTATTTTTCATTACTAGGTATATAATCTGGATTTTCCATGATTACAGATGCGCATACATTACTATTAACGTTTTTAAATTCTGTGCATTTTTAATTCATATTCACAATGATTTGTCCACATTTATCTAATGTTTCTTTCCATCCACATAATTATCCTGGTTTTGATATTTATTTACATATCTTTTCAGTAGGAGAACTTTTATCACATTCTATATCGTCCAAACTGTTAATCGATATTTGATTATTATTCGACTCAGACTCTTAAGAAGAATTTTAGGAAGGAATTTAAGATTTGAAGAGCTGGCATTCTATAGTAGCCTGATTAAAGTAACATTAATCTTCTAATTAAGCACAAGCAAATGCATTCAAACCAGATGTATCACATTTCATTATTTATTTAACAGAATTGACGCATCCCTTAGCAGCATTTTCAAATCTACAAGGTTCTGATTTAAATTAAATCATAGCACAACTCTTAGAATTTGAATATATCATTTCTTAACAAGAAACATCTGAAAGCTCTTTAGGATTAAAAATCTTAACGCATTCATTTTAATACCACCTACAGGCCGTCTATGGTTTGATTATACTAGCACAAAGTATTCTATTTAATCCTAATAATTTGTTTTCACAATCCAATGAAATTAGCAATTAAACTTAAGTTTATAATTAATCTACTTTCTAACATCTTTGATTTGATTTATTATAATAACACCCAGATACTTCGTTTTCTATTACTTGAGAACAGGAATTAGGATTTGCATTGCCTAAGCTTTCGCAAGTTGTTTTATATGGCAAAATGACTATATATATGCATCCATTAATTGTCCATTAACAAGTTTATTTATATTTTGTTATATTTAAGCAACCAAGAAAATTTAAATACCTGGAATTACAATCATCTTCTGGAGAGCTTGGAACACATTGTTTTGAAATATCATCATATTTACAAGCTGCATTATTATTTGATATATTTTGACAATAGAGTCCATTATATTTAAACTTGTGATTATCTTTAATTTCGCAATTTACTACTTAATTTAAAAAAATTCTTTAACAATTGATTCCATCCCATTAACAATATTAAAATTATGTTTTTATATTAATACAAGCCTCTTCATTTAATAACATATCACAACCAAATGTATTTAAATCTTCTTCTGATAAATTCTCACAAAACCCTCTATAAAAAGTGCAATTAGTATTTTTTATAAGTAGACATGCCTTTTTACTTAATCCAATTTCAGAGCAAGATAAATTATTTAATTAAGATTGAGTTACTTCCTCACAACTTTAAGTTTCAATATTATATGAGCAGATACCATCATAATTTTCACATACTAAATAATTCACATTCACTATTTAATTGCATTCTTGGTTGTCATTTTAAAATATTCTACAACCTTCAACTGTCCATTCACATTATAGATTATTGATTTTAGAAGAAAGGCAGGCATGCTTGTTCAGAATGTTATCGCAGGAGTCCAATAAACTTACATCTGTAAATTTGCACTGATTATCCTTAAATATACCTTCTGTTATGAATTATAAATACAAGTTTGATCCTTAGTGGTAATAGAAATGCATCCGTTTTTATTTAAGCCTTAATGAGAGCATTAAATTTCTGAAAGCTCATTTTCTAATAATGTTATGCAATGATAATCCTATTAAATTCCCCCATGAAAACCTATTATTGTTATTAAAATTACATTGAAATTTTTCTATTCTTGCACACATTCTAGGAGATACAGCATCATTATAATATTATTCACAACTAGAGTATAACTAATTCACATTATTTGGATTGAATTCTTAGCAGTATTCTTACCACATACAATCTTAATTTAATACATTAAGGCAAGAGAACTTGGAGAAATTAAGATTACATCCTAGAGTTTTCAATTGTAAATTTGTTACTTAGATACATTTTTCAATAAATAAACCTAGACTTATCACTTCTAACTTACATCTTGCTTCAACTTTTTATTAATCTGTCTGTTGTCCAATGCAGGCTTTTCTGTTTAAATTATTCCTACAACCGTAATCAGACTACAAGAATTCTATACATTTGTTTTCATCATAATTATATTAACCTATTATAAGAAAATAATTTACATTATGTGTCTTATATCTTTTAGACACATGAAATTGAGTCATAAGGATATAAACTACAAAAATTTCCAGCCTAACAACACCATTGGATTAAAAAAATTATCAATATTTAGTAAAGCATTTTTAAATTTATTATTATTCAATTTACTCAATTAATCATGTGATAGCATAATTTTCATTTTGAATTAAACTAAGATTAAATATTATTATCATATAACTACTGTTTTTATTAATTTATCAAAATTTCTTTTATTTATTCAAGAGCATCTTTATATATATAAATCGATTTCAATATTTGAGAATTGAACAAAAGCAATAATATTGATTAGATATTAAAAATATTTATTATTTACTCAAATCTATTCTCTAAATTTGGAGGCTTTGTTATTAATTGATCTCACTCTTCATCTAATATAGATTACTTAGTAAAAATAATATAAATTCTTATGATTTAAGAAATAGAATTAATTTTTATTATAAATAGCAAAATAAAAAAGATATATTATTTTCTTTTAATTGTTTATTAATAATGCTATCTTTTGGTTTAAGGAGAAATATCCTTTGGAATAATAATAATCTTGCCTAATTTTAGAAATGGCAACAGAATATCATTTTGTATATTTTATTTTATGTATTTTTTTGCAAAAGTCTATTTCATTTGAAAAGTAATTAATTCATGAAAAAATATAATAATTGAATTGTTTATAATTTCAAAATAATATTGATAATATTGTAAAGTTGTGAAGCAATATTTTATTTCCAAAAATGTAATAATATTAAAGATTACATTATTTCATATTTAGCTCTAAAATTTATTAATTAATGCTATTAGCACATAAAATAACGCAAATGGTGTACAAAAATGTAAGAATTTATTAAAATTTGATCACATTTAGGCTACTTATATTAAAGAATGAATCTGAATAACGTAATCAAGTAGAGCTAGCAGAGAGAAATAGAATCTTCCTAATTTATAGTTTTGATGAATAAAAAAATCGGCTAGCTAGCTTAACCAATCCAATTCAATAAAATCTAATATAGAACATTTAGGCAATTTTTGCTTTTATAAATAGAAGACCTTACATTAAAAGGAATCTTACTTGAAATCTTTTAATGCATTTTGGTTAATGATTACAATAGTGATAAACTTCTAGCGCTTGTATTTTTGTTGACAGTTTATAAAATTGAAATATTGCCAGACCAAGGGTTCAACATATAGTTCGAAATCAATTATAATTTATATTTTATTCTAGCAGGACCAATCCTATAAAATAAAATTCTTTTAATTTCTTTAGATCATAACTATAGATTTCTAAAATAATCATTATCATTAATAAATATCTGACCTATTTAAAATTTCAGAATTCTACACATTCCAAACAATTATAAAACTCCCTTGATTGAAGTTATCAGATATTCCATTCTGGTAAATACCTTATTCTATGACATACGCAATTGCAGATCTTTAATTTTTAATTGATTCAGTTTTCTTAAAGAGTTCTCCTCTTCAAGAGATTTTGCATAATTATTCGAGGATGTGTTTTTGATGGTATTTGAAGAGGAATGAACTTCATCATTTTCGTCAACATAGCAGCAATACAACCTCCTTTTTTCTTCCGTGGATTCAAAATCATCATACGCCTCATCATCTTAAATGCTTATGATCTTTTGTCTTTACAGTGAGATCTTCTGTAATTCGGCTATTTTCTTATTGCAACAAACGATCTAATGCTTCTTATTCTGGACTACTAGGGCTATTTAAAAGTTACCTCTGAGCTTATGAGAGCATGATCTGACAATTTATTGAAACTGCAATTACTTAAATTAGTTATTATTAAATCATTTTTGAATTTAATCGCTTTCTTTGCTCATCTGAAGGTATTCAGATTTGATTTAATAAATTCTAAATTTTGTTAATTTCACTTTTGGTTTGTTAAATCTTCACAAATAGAGATGCATTAACATAATTTAAATCAATGAGTTTCCTAAGATGGATCCTTTATCTCATCGAAAAATTATTTGTAGAAAGGAATAGATATAGATTTATCCTCAAATTATCCAAGAGCGAGGAAGTCCTAGAGCAATCCTCAAGGAGGATTGTCATTTGACTAGTGATTTTAATTCTTGAACCCTAAGTAAGAAGACCTGAATCTGGCCTTAGAAGACACTAAGATTTTGGGAATACTATTACCGTTCCTTTTCCATTGGTTCTTAAATAATGATGATCTCTATAATCTATCTAAGACCGAAAGGACAAAATTACTCCAACTTTAAGATCGAGTTTTGTAGTCTTTAGTTTTCCTTCAAATTTTAAATACTTCTTACTTTAAATTTGAAGGAAGAACCATTTAATTAGCACTTAGAAAGTTATTGTAGCCTTTTTGTGAGGATAGATAATAATGCTTTTAAAATGAATTACAGGAATAATAAAAGGAATGAATCTTAAATGTCTATCATGATGATGGAAAATATAGCACCGCCAATTTTTTAAGATATACAAAGACAATTTTATTTGGACCTTAAATAAAGTTGGAGCTGACGATATTGTAATTGGGAAAAAGCATAAAAATACTGAAAGTTCTTAGGAATACATGAAGAAACTAGCCAGAGTTGGAATCTCAAAATTAACAAATTGAAATCTGCCTTCTTGTTCATCAACGCGAAATTTCAAAAGATTACACTTACCTGGGTATACAAATGTAAAACTATGGTTAATTAAAAAATCACATAAATAATATGGAAAAAAAAAGTGCTAACAAAATGTTAAAATGGATAGGTTAGTTTATGCTAACTGATTAAAAGACACTATTTGGCAATTATTAATAAAATCCTTCTATAATTATAGCATAGAGGAAATGAAAAATTGCCAATTTAAAGGTAGCAAAAATTAATTCTAGAATTTGATCTTAGGTCAATCAAATAAATATAATAATTACCAAAATGTAGGACCACTAAGATAATAGAGATGATCATAAAATGCCAAAATAAGTAAAACTTACCTGAGATTTTTTCTATACTTCTGTAAAATTCTCATAAAATATATATATAAACACAACACACATGAAAATTTTCATCGCTTGATAAAAGATCACCTAAAATTGGATATAGATGTGTAACATTATGAAATATTTTTTATAAAAGAATCAAATTTATAAATAAATAAATAAATAAAAAAAGAATAAATACAAAACTATTATTATTATTATTAACATTAACACACTTATAATCCTTTAAATTCAATTGGTTTCACTGGTTCTTAAATGAAGATAGATAGTTGTCTTTTTATTCTTTTTTTTGTCTTCTTAACTTAGTTCTTATTAATCAGCTTATCCAGCTTAAGAAGTATAGTATGGTATTATATTATGTGTTTACATGATGATGGAAATTGGTGCTCTATGCATAATTTATTAGATAATTTAAATAATTACCGAAAGTTATCTGGTAGCAAATGACCTATTCGAGATAGGGGTAGAAAAAATTATAATTTGTTGACACTTTCATTGATTTAAATATCTCTTATTTTCATCTTTTGTGCTGCTTTTTCAGAGAAAATGTTGCGATACTTATTATGGTAATTTTTTTGAAAGTCAAAGAGTAGTTTAAAAATGTATTGTATAATTATCCAATTTTAGTTTTTGAAATTTTATTATTTTAAATATAGATGGAAGAATATTGAGAAAAATGGGGCATTAAGGATATTAAATCTAAAAGAAGGAGGAATTTGTAGATGTTATACAAGATAAATTCATTCACTCTTACTCAAAAATCAAGTTGTAAAAAGATTAATAAAATAGTTTCATTATTGATTAAATAAATTTCCCTTTAAGAATGAGTCATTATTTTTCTCCAATAGTTATATTAAAATTAAAATTCTTCTAAATAAATGGCTTTCAAACTCATTTGCTTGTTTGTTTTTACATTAGCAGGATGTAATTGCAAATGCAATTAAAATGAATATGATCCAGCTATCTGTATTTTATAGATAACTGATTCAAAATGTATTTAATAAAAGTTTATTGAATAGGCTTGTATGATGAATTTCTGAATCAGTGCATAGAAACTAGTAATTAAAATTTAGGTTGTTCTTATTATTTGAATCGTAATGCTTGTATAAATTAATTAACGATTAGTGGAAATGTTGAGAAGAGATGTAAATAATAATTTATATATAGGCATATTTTAGAATAGGTGTATAGATGTTAACATATACCATCTGAAAAATTTAGGTTGCAGCGATTCATTTTCAAAATATGCTTGCATTAATGTAGTTAATAAAGATTGTTTTTGGAATGGTTCTTAATGTGAAGATTCTTAAAAGATTATATTTTCAGATAATTCGAAAGAAGAAATATATCCATACTCTGTTACTCCATAACTATGTGCTAAATATCATAAATATCCTTGTAAATGAAATTAATAATAAAGGTATCAATACAGGACCACAAGGAGATTATAAATGTGTTATAATTAATTAGAATATAATTTAAAGAATTAAAATGTTCGACCTTGGGTTTAAATGAAATAGGATGTGTTTCAATTTTGACGCAGAATGAAATGTGTAATTTTGTATATCATATTAGGCCTCTTTGAAAATAATTAATGTAAAACCATAAACCCTTCAAAGATGATAGAATGCTCTTAAAAAATAAACAAATTAGCTTGTTTATCTATTACAACACCTAATTTATTATGTCAATGGTAACAAAATGAATGCCGTGTTTATAAATTTGATCAATAAGTTACATGTCTAGACATTGTTGATGTTAACATAAATGTATGTGCTAATTAAGAAGGTTTATGTATGTTTGATTAATTAAATTACAAATGTACATAGTTAAATTAAAAATAATTGGAATATTTAAATTGCGATACTCCTGGAATAACAAAATTTGCTTGTTTATCCATCTAAAATTAATATTGTACTTTCAATTAAGGGTTTTGTCAAACATTATCTGAAAATGATTTAAGTAATTATTAATGTTAAATGCAATTAAATTAAGCAGCTTGTATTAATATTAAGACAAAAGGTTAATTATGTTTATGGAATGGATAAGGTTGTTAAAATGTAGAAATTACTTAAGATTAAGATTGCAATAATTTCGATCGATTTTTAGTTAATGGAAATGTTTGTTAAGCAATCAAAAAGCCATATGCAATGTGTAAATATGATGAAATAACTAAAATTTGTGTTAAAAGTTCAACAAATGATTATTGTACTACTCCATATTTAAATTTATATGGATGTGTAAGTATTTCAAGAGAGAATTAGACTTGTAAATGGATAGATTAAAGCTGTTAAGATATTGTAATAATACCATTTGAAACACTTTGTAGTAGTTTGGAATATGCAAATTATTAAGCATGTCAACAAGTATTTGAAAATAATTCAATGGGTTGTTATCATGATTAGAAAAGATCCTAATGTGTATCTTTATTAATAAGCACCGATAACGAAACTAATATAAATCTACAGGAGATACAAAAGGCTAATTAATATTTATCAACTGTTTCATGTTTTGATAAATCTTTAGGATTGAATAGAATCATATGTGGATCTATCACTACAGAAAATGTATTTTGCAGATGGCAATAGAATAGTTGTAAATTTATGAAAAAAGAAGCTATTGCTAATATTCCTTGTACAGATCTAAAATATGCTAATCCATCAACGTGTGCTTAAGTAAAATACAACAATGAATTTTGCAGATATTTTAAAGAAGAAAAAGGATGTACAAATCAATTAAAAGGTGAAATGAATTGTAATGATCTTGGGCTTAATTCAATTAGTTGTAATAAAGCAAAAGAGAATTGTTACTATGACAAAGATAGATGTTAGAGTATTGGAGAAATTTCAACTTAAATTACTCCAGAGGTTTAAATCATTTTATAAAAACTAACGTGCTAATCTAATTTTCCAACAGAAAGAATTTGCTTAGCAATATAAACACCAGGTTAATTGTGCACATGGTCCAATAAATATTAATAATGTAGAGAAATCTAAGTTCCTCAAAATAAAAAATGTTCAGATTTTTCTTTGTTTCAAGTTAATGCTGATGTTTGTGCTTAAATTAATTTGGGTAAATCATTAATACCATTTTAGAAACGAAAATATCTTTTGATCAGGATCCTGGTTTTTGTGAATATGATAGATAAAAAAAGAATTGTAGAGAAAAAATCAAAAAGTGTACTTCCAAATGTTGTTCAGAAAATGAAGAAATAGGAATAAATGCATATTCATGCAGTAGATTCTCTAGTCAAGAACCAGGAGTTTATTGTATTTTTTAAGAATCCAGATGTTTGCAACTTACAAACTAAATTGTGGATATCTTAAATCATAATGCTGTAAAGAGTTACTACAATGAAAAAAAGTATACTTGTGCTTAAATGAATAAGAATTCTTGTCATATGATTGATTGGTCAACTTCTTAAGCTTGCTATTATAATGGATTTGCTTGTATAAATTTGAATTTATAAAGTCATTTTGACTTTTAAGAGTTGACAAAATCTTCTGCAATTGTTAATATATATGTCTGCTTAGCAATTGAAGTTGTGAATAGTGTTAACTTAAGTCAGAAATATATTGAGTATAATTAAGCAGGGAAAAAACTGTAAACTACTTCTACAACCATATCCATAATATTAAACTTGTGAAAGTGTAACTGGAAATTCTAACATTTGTTTAGGTCTTACTAGTAATCTTTATTGTAAATGGAACAAAGAATTGTTAAAATGTGTTACAATTACAGAAGATTAATAATAAGAAATCCTCACATGCAATGAATATCAAAATATCAAATCATGCTTAGAAAATTAATACTCAGCGTGCCAATTCTCTCTTGCCTAAGATAAATGTATTAATGCACCTTTAGATCAGGATTGCTCATATTTCAATACTACAGGTAAAGTAAGTAGGAAAACTTGTTCATTAATAACGAAAAGTGGCTAAATTTGTGAATTTAAAAATAATTATTGTGTTGATTCTAACAAATCTATTGAAGGATGTAATTTAGATGGAATTAATAAAAGAGGTTGTTTTAAGAATACTAAAGGAAATTGCAGATGGGATGATGTCTCAGGTTAATGCTATGAAAATAAAACACTATTATAAGAATTGGAATGTAATAATAATTTAAATTAAATCTTATGTATGAAAGTAACTAAGTAACCATGCATGTGGAATGATGATCAATATTAATGTGTTTATTTTAATCAAATGACTAAAGATCAATATTTAGAATAAAATCCTAAGAATTAATATAATCAATGGGCTTGTACCCTAATAGTTGGTGCTGGATACACATTTGATGCAGATAATCATAAATGCAAATTACTAGATAATACTTAAAATTTTGGATGTTCTGATATTTAGATGAATAATTATGCATGTTAATTTTTAACAAAAGGTTCAAATTGTTATTTTGATTAAAATGAAAAACCTCCAAAATGTAAAATTTTCAATATGGATCAAACCATTTGCTCATCTAAATATGCCATAAATATTGAAGTCTGTATGAATATACCTAAATCATGTAAATTTTCACTTCGGACAATGTCTTGCTAAACACTAATAGTAAATTAAGATAACACTTGTTTATATCTTTAAGGTCTATAAAATAAAGGAGAATACGTAAATAAACTAGGATGTTCCTCAATATCTGAATCTTTGCAAGGCAATGATGGAGAACAGTAATGCTATTAAACTAAAGATCTTTAGCAAAAGTGCAATTATTAAAAATTTTGTCTTTGGAATAATTATACTTGCAAAGTAAGCGAATAATAAATTCATATATTTGATAATAAACACTACATCCCAAGTGAATAATTTTATTGGGAGTTTAAGAAAAATAATTGTACTAGTAATACTGATTGCAACGAATTTATTACATTTCATGAATTTTAAAGTGATGGCTTAACTTATCCTGGCAAGAGTGATTAATTAAAATGTGGATTAGGTAGATGTGATTATACAAATGAACCATGTTCTTAGAAAACCGATTGTTAAGATATTTCTATCGAAAATCTTTAGGTTAATGATGATGGCTCAATTAAATAACCAAAAATGTAGGCTTAGACTTGTCAATCAACTTGTTAAAAATCTTTAGATGTTTAAGAATGTAAATCTTCTGAAATGGTTCCAAAGGAAGTGATATAACCAGCTATCATTAATTACTAATAATGTTAAGGAAGATGTTAAACTTCAAAAGAAATCTGTGTGAGTCATATATGTGGAGAGAGTATATTATTTCCAGCAATAACAGTAAAGTGTGAGAGCACTGATTGTCAAATTAAAGATTGTAAGGGTTGTGATAAGGACGATTGTGCTGGTAAATATTGTGAAATAACAGATTGTGAGGATGAAAAAGGTAAGGATTGGAAATGTAAAAGTTATAAAGATGTTAAAGTAATAGAATATTGTTAATTGGAAAGTTTTATATGTTCGGAAAGTCATAAATCATGTAAGAAAGAATTGGATTGTTTGCCATTTGTACAATAATCTTGGTAATTTGAGAATGCAACATGTAAAAAACACTAAATCTATATTAAATCTGAAATCTGCAAAGGGTTTATTTATCTACAATTAAAATGTCAAAATATTTTTTCTAAAGCTCTTTGTCTTTAAATGACAAATCCAACCTGTTTTTTTGATATTAATTAAGGAGGTTGTAATTATCTTGAAGGAAATGAAGATAAAGTTCCAAACTGCGATAGCATAAAAAATACTCGCAAACCAACTAATTAATGTGAGAACTTTATGAATATTTGTAGATTTAGTGGTTAGTAAGAAAATGAATATCAAAATACATGCCAAGCAGTATCTTCAAAAAATCTGAATTGTGAGGATGGTATCGAATAAAATGTTGCAGATGATTCATGCCCTTCAAACACACTAAGTTATAAAAATTGTGTCAAGGGTTTAAATCTCTAAAATTCAGATTGTTTATGGGTTCTTAATCCATCAATATTTAATTGCGCTGCAGTAGCTGATTATTGTCGATATTCAAATGGGGTTTGTATATCTGATCAGAATACCTATCCATGTAAATGCGATAAAAGCTTCAGTAAATCTTGGTGTGAATTTTGTAAATGCAACTTCGATTTGCTTGGATACTGTTAACTTGAGAGTAAACCTATTCAAAAATTACCTGACAATTCTAATCAATATTATTTATGTTATTAGGTGAATTTGTTACCAATTGATGCTGATGGTAAAAAAAAAGTTTGTGGAATGGTTGATTAAGCATGTCGATACACTTTTACATGTGAAGATGCAACTCATTTTAGTTGCGATTACCTTTTAAATTTTGTGGTTTCTAAAAGAGCTTGTATCAGGTGCAATTCTTTGAGTGTTTATTATAATGAAAAATTATAATTTTGTTTCTAATTGGATGCTGATATAAAAACATGCGATCTGTTAAATAAATAGGCATGTTTATAAATGACAAAAGGGATAAAGTGTAAATGGGAAGATTATGAATGTAAATAAATAGATAGAATAACCGGATCTGATAGTAGAGATTGTTCAATTTATAATTAAGATGCTTGTATATAATTCTAATAAGATTGTTGGTTTGATTTGAATATTGGTTATTGTACATAGTTTGATCCAACTTAAGGTTCTTGTAATTTATTATTAAATGAAGATCTTTGCTTATTTTCATTAAAGGAATCTTGTTTATGGGATTCAATTAATTTAAAGTGTATGAAGAATGATAAAGAAATAACATAATGTTCAGATTTAAATAAATTTGGATGTTTAAATTAATCAATGATATCATGTGTATGGTCAGATCTTTATAAATGTTAATGGGCTATATTAAATGATAAAGTAATATCATGTAATTCTGTATTATCAAATACTTAATAATCATATATTACACATTTTAGTTAAAACATTTGTTCTTAATTAAAGATTCAATCAAGTTGTTTCTTAGATAATTATTATTAATGTAGATAAACTATTATTACAGATATAATTAAATGTAATACTTAAGGATTAAATAAATTTGGTTGTATTAATAGATCAATAGGATAATGTTAATTTAAAGATGAACAACATTAATGTATAGAAAATACAAATGATTAAATTGGATGTCTTGATTCATTAAATAAATAGGCTTGTATTTCTTAAAAATAAACATGTAAATTTGAGAATAATATCTGTTCTCTTCATTAAGTAAATACAATTAATGATATCA